ACACTGTTTTATTTTTATCCGGGACGTGTCCACGGAAAGTGCACAAAAAAAATCGAACATCCAGGAGGATTTTTTGTTGACACATTGTATGATGACCAAAATGTAGATTATCTTTAGATTGGGTCCGGACAGCGGAAGGGTCGACCGTGTGATGCAAATAAGCAATTTCGCACCAAATCTCATATTCATACACTTAATCATCATCCAGTCAACTGATTACCACCGTAAATTACCCCGGCGTGTCACGGCCACGTTCGCATGTCATCTGCGTGAATTATACGCACTCCCAAACCCCGAGCAGACCTGCCGGAATCCTCCAATTCTATCTACGCCCATGTCCGTTCTAATCTGCACACGGTGTGACAGTATGACCCTCACGTCGCGTTTATGACGTACCAACCTCATCATAATCATCACGGGTGTATAATAATAGCACGTCATTATGTTGGTGAATTCTAAATACCTCGATATTGGTCCTCCACTGGTCCAGCAGCACTAATGGTAAAGTTTCACGCTGATTGCCGACCGATTTGTTCGACTTTTCGAGCGACTTTTCACCGGAAGCATCGTCCATGTTTATTACGGTTGTCATTGCAACGCGCTCGGAAGTTTGATCAAGAAACAAGAAGAAGTAAGAAACGAGGGGATCGTCTCGTGACAGTTGTACGAGGACGGCAGCTCTCGCCCGCCAATCACGCCCGTAATTATTTTAAAGTAGTTTGCTTTCTCTTGACTGCCGACTTTTGACGTGATTTCCGAGGGATGATTATTTGCAACACGCGCGCGCAAAAAAGTTGTTTTTGTTTAAAAGGGTTTCGTGCTTTTTGCTTTCTTTCGCGTGCGCGCCTGACGCTTCTCCTGTGGTCAATCCGACGGATTAAATATTTACGTAGGTCGGATGGGCAAACAAATATACAGCGAGCCTGAAAGAGCCCCGCATAGTGCGGTCGTAGTTTAACTCTAAACTCGGCGAATGTTTAAATGTAAGTACCTACTTTGCCAGGGTTGTACCAGCGGTCAAACAAGTGACATGGAAAAATAGTTGCGTTTGCTGAATTTGCGTTCGTGTCTGACTGGGTTTGAGCTTTTTGCACACACGCACACACACGCCGGGCACCGACTGAAGGCAACTAGCGTCTCATAAATGTTGCAACTGAAAAAACCTTTAATGAGCGCCTCGCGGATGACGCATGAAAAATGCACACGGATCAAAAGCGTTGCTCGCGCGCATTACATTTGTCGGTGGCGGCAGCGGCTTACTCCTTGGCCGCAACACCTATTAAGGTATATAAAAACATAGATTACCTACTACCTACTGCGTTGTTTGAATAAAACCTTAGATATTAGCACAATTTTTATTTTGTTTCTTTACGGCCGCCTTCGTCAGCTATTCATGGCGAACGAACAACTTAACTAGTAAATTAAGAAATTAACGTATTCCCACTTGTATGGTTTATTGTGGCTTTACTTATTCAGCGGCCGGCGGTGGCGGCGGTGCCTGCCGGGAACCATGCATTGTATATTAGCCGCCGACTTCTCCGTTCGAATCCGCGCCGAAGCAACAAAGCAGTTCGTGAAATGTCATGTCCTCTCCTCTGCGCTTCTCCAGGAGCCCGAACCAACAAAGAAGAAATCCACCTCAACTTTTTCGAACAGCGACGACGTAGAAAACTTTCTTGTCGATCACATCGCCGGACGTTTAATTAACTTGGTATAATTACATTGATCGAATTCAATCGCTGCCCTTTTAAATCACCAAATGGTTTTTTTTTGTAAAAATGACATGAAATTTACACAACAAAAAGAATTAAATTTTTTTCTTGTGAGTTGCTGCCTGTAATGCTTTTTGTTTCGACGTTATATTATCCACCTCCGGCGGTGTTCTTTCAGCGGAGGCTGCTTTTGGGCGCGCGGCGCTTTTTTACGAGACAAAGTTAAGTTGTGCGCGCTCGTTATGAAACACCCGAGAAAGGGTTGGTCGCGAGACGGCGGCATCGCGCACCCCCCGAGGACATCTTGTCGCCTTTCGACATGCATAATGCAGCGACTAACTAGTTAATTATTACTCAGTCAGCCTGGCGACACAGAACTAAATCTTAACTAAGAAAATAATTTCTTGCTGGAAAACCCGCGCTGACAAGTGCACACACACAACATCAGAATATAAGAATTAGGGTGTAAAATACCGGTATTTATATTAAACCGGTATTGAATGCAAATATCTGGAGGATGGGTAAACAGATGGCGTTGTCCTGTAAACTATACCGTGTTCGTAATTTTGCAGATTAATTTTTAATGACATTAGATCAGATGGTATGTTTAAAATTAGCGTAAATCAAAGGGCACGGTGGCATCCTCCGGGAGCTGGCTGAACATACATCTTCGCTCCGTCATATTGTGTATCGATAGTTGCAGCATGCTGGTTGCATAGGCCCATCAGTGTATTCCTGCGGGAGCTTCGATGGTAGTGCATTATCAAATTACCGCCGCCGTCCGCCCCTCTAGTTTTCTGTTAATCTGTTTTCAATGAACCCTCACCCAGCCAACCTACACACATATCCATATCCACATACACCCCTTCGTATAGATATAAATGAGAGATCGAACACGCCAAAGGGGATGCTGCGAATGATACACAAATACACACGATAAACAAATAATCAAAGAACAATAAATACTAACATAATGTGTTTGATATGTAAACACAACGCAAGATGTTAATTTAGAATTTTCTAGGTTTTAGTTTATTTAGTTTAATACTTGTTGTATTTAGCGATAATCTTTCAAGGAAGTGACGTGGAGCGTTGAGGATGCAAAGACGCCTTCAGGTGCTCTTCGGCAGCGAAAGCCTCCCACGTAATCCGCAGTAAACTGCGGCGCTCATCTAGGATTAAGGTGTTCTGATTAATTTCACTCTTATTAAGTTCGGTAGCGCGCGACCGGCGACTGTTATTACCTGTTCAATTATTCACGCATGCGTGGCGTCTTAACTAAACCAGCTTAAACATTTTTTGCACTTTGTGCTTACATTTATACATCAACACCCTGTATATTGAGTATTTTGAGTGACTGATAAAAGCACTCGCATGGGGTGGATTTACGATTTCGAAGGGGTTACTTATATCTACTTGTCGCTTCACGCTTATAAGTGGACGCGGCCATGGATGGGGTTGTATACCCAAGGGTGGCGATTTTCTAGTCAATTTTACAATGAATAAAAGCTCGCTAATCCGCATACAACACGAACGCGAGCACTTTTTTTTGTATTCATGCCTCCCTTGCTCATCATTTCCACATTTCCCCTCTCAGAAATACTGAGTTTGTGTTTTTCGCTGTTGTCTTGATTGACAAAATTGAAATTAACGCGCAATTAGACGCGATAAAAAACGCACAAGTTTAATCGGGGCCGCAGATTAGCTCGGCTGTCTTAACTTGCCGTCTTTGGCTATAAATAAACGCCGTTAATTCTTTAATTTGCGTCCAGGTTTATGCGCGCCGCGTTTTTAATTTCTTTTCTTCTCGGTGGTGCGGCGTTGTCGTAGGTTTGAATTTGTGTTTTTAATTTTCAGCGTTTTTAAGTGTGCCATAAAGTCTCGCCCTTATTTCGTCTTAGTTTCTGCATGAAGAGGGTGTCCCAGATGCCGGGAGGAGTTTTTAATGTCTCTCTTCGTTGTTGGGATGGACTGTTTGATGACACACAACATACTCGCAAGTTATTAACTAAACTTTTTGCAAGTTGTTTTTTTTTTTCTTGTTTTGGAGTCATTCAATCACGACGCCATGTTGACAGGTCCATAACCAAAGTGTCAGACATATTTTTTGGGATAACTGGAGCATAAAGTCAACGTTCAACGCTCCGGTGAAATCTGAAGGGACCTGGACAGCTTTTTGTTTTGATGTCAATCAAAATGATGACAAATTGCGTAAACAAAATTACAATATTCTATTATATACAAAGAGAAAGAAATTTTTGTTTTGGGAGAGGAATATTTGCTGGTTCATGTATTCTTTATGTCTGCGGCGGGCCCGGCCGGCCGGGTGACGGGTGGGATGACGTCCTAAATGAGTCGACAAGGGCCCCGAAATGGTTTTTCGATGCTCTCTTTATTCGGGCGCCACCGGCGCGCCGTGATTTGTTTGTCCTCCTAGGCGCGCCTGTCCACCAGCCAGTCAAACCTTTTTTATCCCCATTTTACATTTCCTCGCTGTGACACTGTGACACTGACAGGGACACAACCAGCAAGAAATTTTTGGTTTGCTAGAAGATGAGCAAAATTCGGTTTCCACTCGTGTAGTCTCCTGTAGTGCATATGTCGCATTTTTTCCTGTTTTCTGCTTTTGCAAAGTCAATAGGTAATGAATAGTTAATGAAGGCCATTTCTTCCTTTTGTCCCGCTCTTCTCCCCGACGTATATCTATTTGTGTCTTCTCATTTTTGACCCTTCTGTCGTGTCCGCTGGGGGGTTGCATTGTTTGTGCCGTGCGCATTCATGCGTGTACGAGCCTTACATGCCGTGCATATGGTCCGCATAAACAAACACACCACCACCACCAGTAGCAAACGCATTTGCCTACCGCCACTCCACTCGATACACTTTTGAGCAAGCTAACCTCTTTCGGCACTTGCGCGCTGAATGCGAAACATGTTGCCATCAGCAAATGTTGATAATAACATGCGTGTATACATTCTACCCTCATACAAACTCGTAAACTTAAGAGGGTGATTTCCTGCAGTTGCACTTGTAGCCGTGAATCGGAAAACGCACCAAAGACACATTTCCGCCGCACGCGTGCCACCCCCACACTCAGGATGTATGTGTTTTACGTCGCGACATCATCCACCGCGAGCGTACAGGTGTCCCCCTTGCTAAATAAACACGTCATATATCAAGCCACCCTTAACAGAAAAAAGCACCAAACATACCGTCTCCGAACAACAATCAAAAACCAAAAGAAAAAAAAAATAGTTAATACCTACAGGTACATCAAAGACACGCATATATTTATTTAGGTAACTTTATTGCAAATAAATACGTTTAATAAATAATCATCATCGAAACAAAAACATGAATTTAACACATCCAGATGTTGTATTTTCTTTACATGACTCTTGATTGGTTATAATAAATATGTGGTGAGCATTTTCATCATTTGTTTAACTTTAAATCAATTGCTTAACGTTGTTTATTTGTACAATACTTTCTTACGAACATAAAAACTTGTTTTCTTCTTTTGTACTAACGATAAGCCTAAAAATCATAACCTCGCAATTAATTGTGAATCGATTCGTAATAATTAATTAATATATTATCGTTATATGTACAAAGTTACAATGTTTTCAATGTTTTTCTTTAATATTATTCCTTTGCTTACACGTTAACTTGTTTATGTACAATAGATTTGTAGATTTCAATCGAACAACTAATAGAATGCAATTGTTAATACGTACAAATCTTTGAGTCATTGACGCATGCGCGTACAACAACCAGATTTGCTCAGTTTTCGTTTCACTTCACTGGGATTGATATGTTTGTTGTTTTTTTGGTTGTTTGTTTACCCTGTACCAAAAATGAATTTCGCCACCGAGTCGATCGAAATGGTTATCAATTATTGCTTGAGTAATATGTACACATTAACCAAATATTGCCTAAAATATATTGCACAAATTTCCGCGTTTTTTTCTTCTTCAATTTTGACTAGTTTATCACTGCTGTTGTAGGTTTAATACTGGTTGAGCAGGTTTCGTAAGAAATGACTCATGACTAGACTTAAGTATCATAGCAGCTAGTAATTAATTAATATATGTACAAAGTTAATTAATAGACTATTTGCATTTTGGGTACGTGATAGTGATAGTCGCGATTATTCTTGGGCTTATCAATAGATTAACATTACCTTCGTCCTCATCTTGTGTGTCTTGTGTACGTTGGTGGTTACAATATCATCTTACCGTCTTATCATCGGTCATGTTTTGTTTGTTTGTATAAAAATTGTACTAATTTGGCATGCGAGACATGCCCGTCTTTTGCGTCATTTTACACTATATCCTCTTCTCGTCGCTGGCGTCGACGCCTCGTTATTTATGTACACCTCGTCGTGGTTCTCATTCATTCATTCGTTGGGGACGCGGGCCGAGCTCCCGAGTTAAAAGGTCGTTTCACTAAAACATTATGCTATTACTGATTAATTCACCGGAAAACCGAAATTAAGATCCGGTCAGTGTTGTGCCGCGAACTTCATTCGTTTCTGCTTCTGACGCTGATTGCAGAACCAGACGCGCACGACGTTCTTCTTGAGGTCGAGCTTCTCGGCGATGGCGGCGATCTTCTCACCGGAGGGTCGCGGCTGCACAGCAAAGTACGCCTCCAAGGAGCGTTTCTCCGGTGCAGCAATAGAGGTCCTCTTCCTTTTTTTCTCACCAGCGGGTAGTACACTAGGAGCATCAGGGTCACGACGTTTGTTTTTCGCCTGCGCTTCGGCTTCCTCTAACCACGCTTGCAGGATAGGCTTAAGGGCGATCATGTTGTTGTGCGACAGTGTGAGCGATTCAAATCGGCAGATGGTAGATTGTGATAGCGCACCAACACCGGGTAATTTAAGATTGGCAAGTGCTTTACCCACATCTGCTTGCGTAACACCAATTTTATCCTCCGCTGTTTGAAGCGTTCGGCAAATGCTTCCAGTTCACGGGGATCTGTGTCCGCATCAGGATGTAACCCTGCTACTGCAGCAGCGGCGGCAGCTGCCGCCATTGCGCTGGGATGATGCGCGGCTGGATGTCCACCATGGTGTCCAGGATGATGTCCTGGTGCTCCATGCCCACCCAATCCTCCACCGTGATGATGATGGTTCATCACATGATTCATACCATAGGAATGCATATGTGAAGGTGTCTCTGACATGGGTGTGAGTGTTGTCATTGACGACGTCGAGATGGGATCCAGCATTTCCAGGCCATCCATGTGCCCCATCTGCAATGGAATAAAAACCAAACGATAACAAACATGTTTTGGTGACAATGGAGGCCTTAGTTAGTTAGTTTATTTGTTTGTTTTCCAAACAATGCGTGCGTTGTTTGGTTTTTCATTTTATATTGTATTCCTGTCCATTGTGCGGTATTTCTATTATATTATTATTTGTTGTATTCGGCGCGTTTTCCAATGAAATGCCATGCAATTATTTTTATTTTTCCACCGCTCGTATTTTATTTTATTTGCATTTTTGTTGCATTCTCTAGTGTTTGCTTTCGGGTTCTATTGTGTGAGGAAAAAAGCAAACTATTGTTTCACTAATAAATTGAACGTGTTCAATTTTTCAAGCGCGCATTGTTTCATTTCTAGCGATTTTTCCACATCAAATTCACTATTCCACACATTGTGGTAATAACAGTTAAATATTTATCCGTATAATATTCATATATTTTTGAAATTAGTTATGATTAGATATTAGTGACCGACGCCGCAGGAAATCTTATCGAGTAATCTCTCGGGCAATCCAATCGAATTAGAACGATTCTGTGGGTTAATGTTGCACCGTTGTAATAACGAAGCGATACTCTCACCCACACCCACACACCCTCGCGCCTATCGAAATAATCAATCAAAGGAGAGATGTGGCCTTCGTTGATGTGGAAGCGGGGCTCGAATTGTGGACGTCACTGATGATTCCGATTCATATTTAATGAAGGTGCGTGTTGCTCGTTCTTTATCAATCTAAATTCAAATAATGATAGTGGTCGCATCATCAACGAATAAGGAACAAATACTATACTACCTTTTCTTTGTTTTTCGCTATTTTATAGTTGTTTAAAGCGTAAATAACTCGATAAATGGATTTTTACAGAGCCATTTTTATAACGACGTTCAGGAGACAATGCAATGCGTGCAATTTGCATCTGTTTAATTTTTGTAAGATGGCGCTAGTAGTCACATATTAGTTTATATTGGTATAAACTAAGCCTTAGATTCTAAGGCATGAATTGTGTTGTGTCATTGTGGTAGTGAATGCAGATTGCAGATCCGTGTCCGTGTGAGGTCGCGCGCGGCGTGCAGCAGATCGTGTTTTGTTTTTATTAGTCAGTTGTGTTGTTTGTTTGGTTCTGCAAGTCATTGTCGTGGCTGGTGAGACTCTGCACGCTGTATTAAACTGGTATGTAGTATTACATTCTTAACTATTTCTCTACTATTTATATTAAAACTTATTACTCTTGTAAAATGTCGGTGAATATTTCCTGAAGTCTAAATATGAATTCCGCCATGTTGTATTCACTGCTTATGCACATCAACAAATTAGCTGAAAATCGTGCTTAGGTTATATAAATTTGCATTACAATCAGTAGGAATGTTAAGATCATAATTTCGCCATTGTTGCAAATGTTACCATCAATGTCATGTATTTGAAAAAGATGTTCTAGCTTATAATATTTTTCATCGTTACGCAGAGTATGACGTTAAAACGGGGCTACACTAGTTTTATTTGGGTTTTTAGCAATTTAATGGTTCCTTAAAGTATGAATAACTCGATAAATGGATTTTTTTATTGGCATATAATTCCGATCGACATGCTCCTGCTGTCGTGGCGTGTGTGCGCATTCCAATGATTCAACATGTCCCAACAGCGACATATTTCATCATTAGACCGCGCACACATCGGTGTAAAGTGGTCATTTGACGTGCGTGCAGGGAAAAAGTGTATCGAGGGTCTCTCCGCATTCTTCCCGCCCGACATATTCCTACTTCTATGTGTGTGCGCGCGAGAGAACCGGGACGGGACGACGGGACAAGAAGTTCGAATGTGGCGAGGGCACGGCACGACCCTCTGGGGAAATGTTATATGTGACCTGGGGGCTTGCGTCGAGACTCCGGCGCTCTCTGACCGTTTGTCAAACATCGCGAGCGCGCGCGGTTGCAAAACGCGTTTGTTTTTCAAGTATTTCGTGTTTGGCCTGGGGACCGCCGCCATTGTGTCCGGTGTCCTTTGTTTCAATGCTTTTGGGACACGATAATGGATTTAGATTAGATATTCTTTCAAAAACAAAACAAAACATAACAAATGTTTGTTTTGTTCCGACTTGATAGTTACCTGATGTGGCCGGCTGACTGGCGGTGGTGCTCCCATGCTATGATGATACATCATGTCGTGTTTTAGCTGAGGAAGCCCACTGGGCACCGGTGCGCTCTGATGTTTAATATCAACAGCCGCCAATGCTTCCGCCCTGCTGATAATACCATCATTGAGCCCCGAGAAAAGATCACCCTGCAACAATTAATATTATTGATTAAAGCAAAGAAATCGTGTGTGTGTGGTAAACATTGAATTATTAAAAGTGATTCTCAACTCGTTTTGCAGTTTTCACCTGCACACGGCGTGCGCGGCCAACCTGCTATAAAATTTATGCGTTGAAATTATGATAAAATGATACGTTAAATTATTTATGATTTTTTCACTAACTTTTCCGCGCGCTCTGCTCCACACCGGTTCATTAATAAAACTAACGCAAATAAATCGATGAAATTATTATTTGGCGAATGAAAAACGAGTGATTCTCTGAAGAGTGAGGCGGGTAATTTATGACGCTCATCATGTCGTTTTTCGGAGCCCCAAAATGACTAACTAGCTAGTTAATATAACGGTCATAAGTTAACGAAATGGGATAATTTGTAACCGCGTCGGCGTGGTAATGCCAACAACTGTGAACTGTGAGAGCACAGCCCAAAGAGGGTGGATGAGAGATGCACGAGGAGGAAACAAACGAGTAAACGGGAAAAGAAAATGCTGCAAATACTATAGAAACACAATTTATACAGGGTGTTATTAAAAGTTTTCAAAAAAATTTTTAAAGTAAAATATTTTCTTAAATTAAAGAAAATTTTTAACTTTAAAAAAATTTCTTTCTGAAACACCCTGTATGCTAACATTTTGAGGTGTTCCGAGTATGACTGCCATGATTAATTCCCCAGGTCCGCGCCAAACAACAATGAAATTAGGGGCGATTATCACTTGTCTTCGGCGCTATAACTCTTCATCTATTTTCGGGAGCAGCGAACGGGAACCCTCTTAACCGAATAGATTAGAACAATTTGTTGCGAAAAATTAACTACTTAATCAACCCACATACAGTCTGTGTTACTTTATGTGTAAAATAACAAAATATTTTTTAATATTTTTTAATATTCCGCGTGATATTCGTGACAGTTGAGCGCCACACTGAGGGAATGCCACTCAAACATTTCGGAGGTGTCAGAAAGACACCATGTGAGTACGTTTACGCTTAAAAAAAGCCTAGTTAACTTGATCCGAGCGCGGCAAAAAAAATTGTTTGCGTTACACTTTGGATTGATGCTTGTACAAATGGTGTCACTCTACGTTTGTTACAAGCATACTCTGCGAATTGTAATTGTTAAGAACACATTAACATTATTTAAATCTACAGAGGGTTGTGTGTTGTGTATATATTATTCGCAATTTCACCCCTTTGGATAGCAGTATGTTCTTGAAACGTCTCCGCCACCACTTAAAAGTGTTTCATTTCTGTTGTCTGCAAAACAAAAACGGGATGAGAGGGAAGATGGGCTGGCAGCGGCATATAGAAAAACGTGCAGGCGGCGGGGGTGGTTGTGCGAGGGGCGCGCGCTCGCTGCGTAAGTTAGTTCTTACACTGGCTCATCTATAATTCAGGCCGGCCCTACTTGTTAGACGCCTCCAACCCTCGGCGGCCGCGCGCGCTCTCACCCGCTCTCTGCGCCCCTCCCGCCGCCTTCCGTTTCCGGTACGAGATCCTGCCACTTCCGGACACTGACGGGTTATATCTATCTCTTTGCAACGAAACGCGCTCGTGTGCTAATTGATTCTGTTGCTATAATTGAGATTTCTTGTATTTTATAAACCGGGGACGGCCGTTTGACAAAAATAAAAAACGAAGAAAAAAGGAAGGAAAAATTGCGCAGCGAAAGCGAGTTTGTGAGTTTGCGAGTTTTATTCGATTCGTGTTGTAAAGTTTTCCAACTTTCCGAGCGACGGACATCATTTAATTTTAGATTCTCTAATTACTCGGCAAAAATACTATACAGAAGGTTCCAAGAAATAAAAACAAAATAAAAAAACAATAATAGATTACCTTGTATATCTAGAACTTGAGGTGAAGAATGAAAACGGAAACCTATGATGATCACATGAATATTTTACTAGCCTCAATTCCGAAGACTTTAATTATATCATCGGCGTTACGTTCACATATCGCTCTACATCTGTCATATACAGGGTGTTATCACATCAAAAAACAAAATAAAAAATGTTAATTTGTCGCATGAATAAAATACGCAGAAAAAACTAATAAAACTTCAATATTTATTTAAAACGGCCAACTTTTGTTACATTGACGATTGGTTAAATATCGATCTATTTGTGTTGGACGCTAATGAACCAAACAAGCATGGTACAATAATATGATTATACCACAACACAAAAATAAAATTAAAATAAAAAATAAGATGTCTATAAGCTATTTAAACAACTAAATGTTTTTAATTTTAGAATAATGCTTTGTTCATTGATTCGACACGTAATAAATTTGTTTAGGCTTGTAATGTGTAATGTAGTTATCAAAACCCTAGTCAGCGTTAATTTTTAAACGATGCACGATTCACTTGCGCGCCCATACTACTAAATTATTATCGAGTGGATGGTTTTGATGGCTATTTATACTTACATTGTGTCTGGGTGACCAGGAATTGCACATTATCGACGCATCTTCAAGCATTCTCTGTAAACAAAGAAACAAAAATTAATTTATTTTAAGAATTGGTGGAGGCGCCGATATTTTTAAAATGTGTTTATTGAAAGAATCTTGTTTTTCGGTTGTACGCACGCATAGCCAACCGGAATTACCGATAATGCTTTAATAGACGTGTGCTTTTGTCCACGTAAACGTCGCGCACGCCGCCGATTTGGTTCCCCGGCGGCGGCGGCGGCGGCGGCGGTGGAGGATAATAACGTGTCGAGTGCTCGTCGCTGCACAAGCGATTTCAAGCCGACAAGACCCGCGTGCGTCGATGTCGCGTGGAGCGCGCATTGTTTGTTTATATTTGTAGATCGAATCTTAGCGCAGCGCCACGAAAACCATGAACGAACGCACGAAAACCTAACCAACATAATTGCTCTATAAATACGCGCGCGCGCGGGGCCGAAAGAGAAAATAACAATTTTCAGCTCGTTTAAAAAACACACAAACGAATAATGACCAATATGTAACTCGCACCAAAGCACCTGATACAATCGAAGTGAAGTGCAATTTGTATGTCGTAAAAACATGTACGTAATTAACTGTTTTGTTGTTTGTTTTTTTTGTTTTCTGTTTTTCGGAACTAAAAATTTCGCTTATTTAAAGATGAGAATATTAAACATAGACCAATTTAGATGAAAGGGTTTCTTCTTTGCACTCAGCTGTACTTTGCGCGCACGTTGTTAATCCAATTAACATATTTTCCATAATAACAATTATGGCCGGTAAGGCGGAGGCGCGCGTCTGCTGCAAAGAGAATAAATAACGAAAGTACGGAGTGTGCGGATTCTTTGCTGCGTTTGCACTGTTTCAACTTTTCTTTTTGTCCGGGGCGCGACATTTTATCGCAACCCTTGACTGCTAATTGAGTGCATGAGTATCCTTTCTGCAATTATTTTAGCATCATGCTAATTAGATTAAAAATTTAAATTTTTACAAATATTTTCACTCAATTTCAAATGCATAACATGTGCTTATGTTGGCTACGCATCGCATAGAGACAGATTGTAAACGTCGACGATCAAAATATGTATGTGTGGAGCTTTGAAAGCTCTGCGGATTGTCTGTGTGTGTTTGCGTGTAGAAAAGAGAAAGCTGGCATTGCTCCGCCCGCACCGGCGCGTCCGCCAATCGCGATGCGAGCTTTATCGATCGTTACGTCACTTCCTCGTCCGCTTGCGGGACGCCATTTTAACCCCGCCACCACGCCGCCGCCGTCGCGTTTCCCGACCGACGAGCGACGGATCGACAACAACTATTTGTAGATACCTAGGTTTATATCCAACAAACTACCCCAATAAAAAGCTTATTTAAAAATTAGAAAAAAATTCGCGCAAAAAATTGATTAATTTATTGTTTGACTTTGAAAACGCCGTGTAAGATTATTAGGTGGTAATTTTTATTAAACATAAACCAATAAGTGCACGTTGTGTGTACGCGTCGGATGTTATTATGATAAAAAAATTCATAAAAATCATACACCACCATTCAACATGACGGTGGATGCGTCGACGTGCACCGGTAAAAAATTCATGATCAACATTTGTTTGATGTAATGCAAAATCAGTAGAGTTTAATTTCTTTCGTCTTTTTTTAACCCTGCTGCAATATTATGAGTTATTAATTAGATTTGAATGGAGTATGCGTTTAATGGACTGGCCATAATAATCCGCACGGGTGCGCAAGTAACGCAAAGGGGTGCCTCCCCAAAAAACAGATAACGGAAACGCATCGAACACGCGCATGAAATAAAAGTGAACGACTATCCACTCGAAAACAAGTTGAAAACTACTATCACGTGCGTTATCGTCGATGGGGTGAGTGGAATGTTCTTTTTGCGTTGTCACCCCTACTCGCTACACACAGTTTGCAAAAATTTGATTTTCTAAGGAAAAAGGGTATCAAAATAATTCGAAAGCCCAACAAATTCTACCAACACAATAATTTAGGTTCATTATTTTCTGGAACTAACCTTACGATCGCATGGGCTTTCGAACGCATGACCCTTTCGTATGCTAGGCTTCCACTTGGATTCGAATTGATCTGCTTCACTGCCGCAATCCCACACCTGTCACAGAAATCAAAAAGATGTAGGTATACACATGAAAGAAATAAAATAAAAAAATAAAATGTTGTGATTTGAGTACAGGCGGGTAATTATCCGTGGGGCTAATACAATAATGGGCCAGAGCGCGGGTGATAATCTCGCCGACGATTCGTGATGACACACGTCACGACAACCCGGCATGGTAATTCCCACTCGAGTCGAGTCTAGTGCCTAGCGTGCCGGTGTTGAACTTTAATTTCCCTACATTTCCGTGCACTTATCCGACGCGTAGATTCCGTTTCGTGACGCTACTGATTTCCGCCACTTTTTCAATAAAATTTACAACTCCATATAAAACCTTGTTCGCTCGGCGGGTATTTTGCGTGTTTCTTATCAGCCAAACAACAAAACATAAATTTCATTATTAGAAATGGTTTATTTTGATTTGATTTCAAACATGAAACTTTTTCTAAAATTCTAAGCTTATATCCAAAAATTATTATGGTTATCTTGGGCATTTGCATCAGCAAATATGATTGATCACAAATTACCCTCAATCTTGATCTATCATTATCATTGAGGGTAATAATATAATAATTATCATCTTAATTTTGTTTGTTTTATGGGTATTCTAACAAATATTATAAATATATGTTTATTTGTAACACGACTACACAAAAACCACTCAATAAATTTTGATAAATTTTGGTTTGGAGATATTTTAGACCTAGGAGAATAATATAGGCTACTGCATGTTGCAAAAATATAACTTACAGGGTGTACAAAATAGTTATGCAACAAAAAATATAAATGACGCTGAGATATGAAAAAAATGTGATGAAAATGCTTATTGAAGATGACCGCCGATAAATACGTATTGAATATTATATAGTAGCATCCCTGAATATGCTTTTATTTTTAGTTCTAATAATAAAAATTCTAATAAAAAATAAGTCTGCAATAAAAATTATCAACTCGCATAAAAACTAAAATATAAATAATATTGAAGCAAGAATAAGTCACATGGACATATTCCTGTATTCCTGTATTCCATACGATGAGTTTGATGAAGTTGCGAGTTTGCGGAGGGTCCGCCACCACCGCCACCGTAATAACGGGCGAATGTACGCTGCTTTAACTGACGTATAATCAGGTGGCGGCACTTGCGGCTTTCCCACGCTGCTACGGCATTATCAACCTATTATTAATATATTGTTAACGGATAATAATTACATCTATCCGTAAGTACAACTCATGAACAGGCTACACGTTCTACTACGACTTCTTCTGGATATAGAAAGCGAAGAAAAAAAAAAGAACAATACTACTTGAAAGTTTACTGAATTGAATTAAAGTGAACGTGACAGTTTATGATTTGTCAAAATTCATTCCTCAATCCATCAATCAATCAATCAATCAATCAATCTTTCTTGCAAGGTTGTATCCAGGGGAAAGGTCACTTGATGAACTTTTTGCATATTGTCGAAAAACTCAACTGAAAAAAAAACTATTTGTTCAACCCGATAATTTGTGCAGGAGATCTCCTCGGCAGTAAAGTGAAAACTTTCTTCGTGCACGTCGACGGCAAGTTGTTATTAGCGTCCGGTGAGTCGTGGACGGTGCGTTCGCCTGAGCTTGAGTCTCGTGGTGTTTATTAATTCATTTCAGTTTGTCGTTGTTTTTAGCACACAATGTGAAATATATTTATGTTTTGATCGTAGATTTTTAATTTCAAAGGGCAACACTGTAAAAATGAGGTTATGTCATCTGTTCTAACCTAACTTGATGTTTGAAACGTCAAAATGTGCAAAATTATACAGAGGATTGAAGAAATTAGTGAAAAACAAACGGATCTGTTTCAAATTGTTTTTCCGTCCATATTTTAAGCCTAATTTTGTGTGTATAATAAAAAACAAACACATAATATGAAGGTAAAATAATTTGTATGTGTTAGTAATGCTTGCACACACACACAGCCGCACTCCTAGTTCGAATGCATTTAATAAATTATTAACGAGCCGTCGGTTTTCCGGTAAATTGGAATTAATTCAAATAAAAATACCAACAAATCGTCACCTCCCGTCTGACTACATTACCTACACATTACCGTGTGTGTATTTTTTGCGGGTGTTTTCAATATCGAACAAATCTGTGATTAAATAAATACGTGTGAATACGTTATCAACCTGTAGAACGAGCCAATCGTAAATTTTAATGCGCACGTTTTCTTTATTTCGTGTGTGCATGGAAATTCGATGGAAACACACACATGTCCCGGCTGCGATCGTGAAATGTACAATTACGTCCAGGGGAATCGCGCAAACTGCGTTACAAACTGTTTTGCATTCCGGTCGGTAGGCCTGACGGCGTTTGCGATTGGACATTTCGGCAGGAAAAGCGAATTTACGCCGTGTCCCAAAGCGCGTCGCGCCGCCATCGATGTGATCGCGTACACGTAATAAAAATAAAGCGACCCTTCGATGCACAGCGCACACACACGGGGGCGGCAAGCGGCAATGCCAGAGGATTGTATCGTATAGTTTATTGAGTGCGGTTGGGCAAATATCCGAACGGAAACAAAGCGTAAAATGACAAAATAGAATTTAGAAAAATAAAAAATGATTTATTTTTAGTTAAATTTACTCAGTTGATATTATTTCACCTGTTGTAGGTGTACGCATGGCATTTATGCGTGTTAAAACAGCTGTGAAAATGCGGCGCAATAATTCGAGCAAAAGAAATTGACTTTACGCGGTTTAAGCGCGCCACGGGGCGGCGGCAAGCGATTTTTGCGGCGCCCGACGTAAAGCTCTGCCAGCCGTTAACTACATCTCGTGAGTAATGCATGAGGCGGCGGCGACGGCGGCGTGTATGCGTACACGTATCGCGAGAGTTGGCTCAGGTGGGCGCCATCAATGATGCATCGCGTTTTCGCTCCTCTCGAGCGTTTTTCAAGCCACAACAACCGCACTAGCGCAAATTCTAGGTTATGGTTACCAAGTTAAAACATCTCCCGGCGCCTCCACAGTTAGACTAATTATAAATTTTACAAAATAAAATATAATTTATGTTTATTAATGCAATTTTTGCTTACCGACGGATTGGGCATACAACGTCGTGCCATCGGTTCGGGACTTCTGTACGTCGGTGAATAACGGCCTGGAAAACATGAGCCGGTCGACGTGATGGGCGCATGCAATCCAGTCGGGCCCTTTGCGCCCATCATCTTGTCCGGCGAGTACATCATCTTGAAGCAGCGGTCGCGCTGCGCAAAGTAACAGTCAATCGCAATGCGGTGGTGGCGGCGATTCTCAAAACGCGTTCGGGATTACAACGCACACGAGTGCGACATTTTGTCACTTTGTTCACCACTAAACGTACACTTAAAGTTTCGCTAGTCTCAAGATGTTATCAACACGCACAGCACAATTTAATTGTTTATTTCGGGTTATGGGTATTAATATGCTTGTTATCAGTGAGTTGGGTTGTTTGGTTGTTGTCGCATGAATTGCTGCGAGCAGAGTACCGCGATGCAACCCCCGGTTCCAGGGTGAGAGCTCTCGCCGATCGAATGGTGGGCGCGCGCGGGGCACAACACAGTCACTGGAGTGACTGGACTGGTCTGGAGGGCGAACGGGACGCACACTGAGGGCGCGCGCGGCATCCATTGGAGTCGGCAGCGACGCGCGCCGCCGCCGCCGCGCACGCCCGCCCCCTTTCGCGGCCCGCCTGCCTCGCGCACCCCTCGGCTCCGCCGACAAATTAGTGGCGTTTTGACGGCGTATAGATTTTTGAATTGCAATCAGAACTCTCGAGCGCGCTCCCTGTTATATATGAACTTTTATTGATTGCACATCCACCGAAAAAATCCAAGCGCCCAGCCAGCCACCTTTGCAACTATCGGATAATTATGCTTGTTACTGTCAACGTGATAAAATGTTGATTGTACATGGTACATGTATATCTATATATTTGTTTGCGGCTACTTTTAATAGCGACTCGTCACGAATATTTAATTAAATGGCTTGTGGTGCGCCGGGCGTCGCTATCGAACGGATTCATCGGTCATTAAAAAATCACTTGTCTTTTAATATCGTGTTGCGGGTATCTAAATCGTGCATCGTTTTTGCATGCGCACATGCACAAATGAATTTGATTTCATTTATTGTCAAGGAATATAAAAATAAGCAAATATTGTCATTTTACGCGGACTTGCATCTGTCTAATCTTTTTTAAACTGATTATAAACTCAATTACTCCTGTAAAAATGTAAGTAAATATTTCCTGAAGTCTAAATATGAATTCCACGTCGCTCAGTTGTATTCACTTGTGTTATGTTTAAATTATTTTCTAGTAACGCAACGTGCACCCCAACAAATTAGCTGAAAAATCGTGTTTATGTTATAGAAATTTGCATTGCAATTTGTAGGAATGTTGTGATTATAATTACAACAATATTTCAAATATTACCATCGATGTCATGTCTTTAAAAAAATATTCACGCTCATAATTGCTTGAAATGAAAATATTTTTTGTCGAGTAAATTTAAAAAAGACTTTAAACATTTTCCTCCTTTCGCATTTGTCTTTAATTACCTTGAATGCTATATTCCAAAGTACTTATATATGTGACAGTGGCGGCGGCGGTGGCGGCGCGATGACTATTAGCCGAGGCCGTTCGTGTCCGTTCGATGGCTTTCAATTTGGTCGTCACAAACATTACACGGCGTTCCCATCAATCGCTTTTATCGCACTACATAAGAGGGTATTACTCGATTGCACTATTATTATCGTCTCACTACCGTCTCCACTCTTTCTATCCTCAAAACTCAATTATATTGGCAATAATGTCGTTCTTTGTCGGTACATTTCTGGTCAACAACATGCTACATCGCCAGGAGAATTAATACACGCCAGAATCCGTCGGATCATCATATTCATATATTCCATGTATTTGGGTAGGATTTGATTGAAGACGGCGCAGCCAAATTGGGGGAAGATCATAACAACGCCGATGATGATGACAATCGGCCAGATGATAGAGACCAATATCTGCAAGACGTACGAAAATAGCGGGTGGCGATTATGTTTTACAGGCATACGCAAAGGAACCACGTGAGGACAACCCATGCTCCTATACAGGTTAAACCCATGAGGAATGTTGCTTGGAGTTCTTGGTTGTTGAGCCAATTGTTGAGGAGGTCTACGATGTTATCCATGATGAGGTTTGAGTTTTGGGGTATGAAGTGATTATTGACAAGAATTTTTTGACACTGAAATGAAAAATGCACTTTTAAGGTTAAAATAATAAAAAGGTAATTTTTTAGACAAAAGGATCTTTGTAAAATAAATAAAATGTATCATTTTACAGTTGGTCGATCATCAGCACACGCAAATCCTCGTTCTTTAACCACCGCATCGAAATCAATTGTTATGTGATTGTTGTTTGATTGCAGTATTTACCGAGCATTTGTTTCGTCCGCGTCTTTTTGCCGGACGGACATCGGCTGCGGTCGACACGCTATCCACGAACATCCATCAAGAAAGGACGACGCGCAGGGAAAAGTCAAGGGAAACTTGCCGGGACTTTGTTGTGTGTTTGATTTCGACTGCGGTCCTTTTCTCCGATAATTGTCTTTCGGTAAACATGCACTTTGCAACTCAAGTGTAGACAAAGTGAATTGCTAACCATCCACCATTTTAAAGTCTTCCATAGCGGATATGACGTCATATTGCAAGTCATAGTGGTTTCTAATTGGTAAAATCACTGCGTGATATGACCGTAACCGTCCACTACCCCTCTGATAGGGGGATTGAAGTTGCGGTAGCCAAAAGTGAATATTATCGAATTTGAATAGTAATTACGCGTTAGTATATTGAACATATGTTAGGACAAAATGCTTAACTAATAAATAGTTGGAGCCGGAAAAGGATTGCAACACGAAGGTGAGATCAATGCAAACAAACCGGCAGCGCACATATGGTCAGGTAAAGAATTTGATCGCTCGTGCATTAGTTATGACGAAGATATCATCGGTTATTAGGTAATTGCATTTGATGAATAAAAATATTACATTTGCTACAAATACAATTCGCTATTGATGATTGTAGTGGTGGTGTTTGAATGTTGATTGTAGTGTGCAATAAATTTTGCTTTTATGCAGTCACATCAAACATCAAAACACGCGTGATGGGGGAACGCACTCTGGCAATCTTGAGGCGCGTCTCTACAAGTGCGACATGCATGACAATAAAATAAATATAAACATACGAGCACACACTATTGCTCTGGGGTGCGATGGTGCGATGGTGCGATGGGAAGTCGAGGTCTCCCCACACTTGCTTTGATCAGTAAGTGATGTACGGAAACGTATACTTTTGGGATTTCTGACAGAATTCGCACCCTTGCAAACCAAAAATGACAAAAAAATAATTCTAGTGTAATATTAGTTGCCTAAAAACAATCTACACCCTAGAATCATAACTAGTATTATAAATTGGAACGTAATTGTGTTTGTATGTTTGTTTGTGTCGCTATTACGTAAAAACCATTCAACCAATTTTGATAAATTTTGGTTTGAAGATAGTTTAAACATAGGAAAATAACATAGACTACTGAAAGTCACTAAAATTTAACTTTAAGGGTGTGGAAAATGGTTTTATGAAAAACTTCCTATTTTCTAATACAAATTAACCTAAAATTAATAATAAAACGAAGAAATAATGGGTTAACAAGAGCGCAAATCAATTTGCGCCAGTCTCACACACAATTTGTTCATTATTTCCTCCGGCGCGTGTGCGGCCACCGATGGGGTACGCCCGGCACGCGCCCCTGATATACGTATCTAATTGCATCCCCGGGTTTTCTCGTAATCACGATGTGATCGAATTAATGCGCCACTTGAGCGGCACGCGTTGCCGTTATGTCGTCCGCGACGCCTGTTTGCATTACCTCGAGGTTACGCCACGTGCGTAAAACCACCCCGAAGACTATATTCACGTACCCACACACACATACACTCACACACAACATATGCATACAAATGTGTTTAACAAATTATTCCGGCGGAACCGGTTTGGCAATAAAGGAATTGGATAAATGATAAAGTGAGCATCTTTTGCAAGAGGGCGACAAAGTGACAGGAGGGTTGTGCGGATCATTCAAAACATTCATTTGTCTTTTTTAAGCATTTGATACACGATATTATAATGGATTAATTTTTTAGTTAAAGTTTTTAATTGCTCGGCAAGCGTGTAAATTGAGCGTAATATGAATTTTGAAATTCACATCGCTGACGAATGGTGCGAGGCGACACTCCGCGATGTTTGATTAATTATTACCTAATTATACGTTAATTAACTGTTCAATGAAACTATAATCGATGCGCTTTTAAAATTTAAAACCTACTAGCAAGACGACAATGGGAATTATTTATGTATATTGTGTGTTATAGTGGAAATTTTCAGATTTTTCCAAGTTGTTGCTAATGACTAATATTATACTAATCAAATTAATGGTAATATCCTCTCATCATAAGAAAACTACGCTTTGTTCGGTGTACTTCTCTTTTTTGTTTCTTTGTCCAAATTGGGGTTATAATACGAGTAATTTTAGGTTAGATTTCAGTTAAATAAGTGCCATCAATAATTGAATAGCTTCACATGGTGGAACAGATTATCTCCGCATATGATTGCGCTGCTCGCGTTTCTCACACCGCCAATTTATATAATCACCGAAATAAAATGGAGATTTCGTTCCGATAAACGCATTAGAAATGAATGGCCGCGCCGCGTTAAAGACCAATATTATCACTCGTGAAAAATTCATCCGCATGCATTACCCAACCGAAAAAAGAAACCAAACACATGTTCCCTGGGCTGTGATTTCGAAATTCGACTCAATTATAAATTATAGACAAGACAATACATCACACATGTCTCACATGGCGGCGGTTTTGTTATGCGGCTTTCGTCTCTTTTGATTCTTTGAACATTTTAAGACGTGCACAGGGACTAGAGATGCAGATGCAAGATAAAAAGACCGGCGACTGGTCGGGGAGGACAAGCGCGACGTGTTTGGCGTTCGGCTTTCGCCGCCCCCAGCGCGCGGATATGCATAAGTAACGATTTGACATAACAAATCAGAGCCGGCGTGAGTGGCGCGCGGCGCGAAACAATTAAATATTTGAGGGCGGTTTGGGTCAAGCAGTGGCGAGAGGTTAATAATTTAATCGCGTGGCTTTTAACGCCGCCCGGAGAGCAGCAGCTCACACACACGATGCCGCCGACGACGGGCGCCGCCCCCCTCACGACTCTTCTTTTATTCAGCAGCCGGAGAGCTCGAGGACTTGACACCTGGTCGTCGGATTGATTATGGAGCCGCCGGGGATTTCTACATCACACGACCACCACCAGACCAGGACTGAGATTTACACGGCCCTTCTATAAACAATTCCCGCGCGCCAAAGCTAAATATTCAACACCAAGCACCAGGCATAAATTCACCAACAGAATTCCAGTAACGCTTGGTATACTCATTCTTGCCCTTTGGTCGGGGGGGCTAAAAGGCTGTCGGATGTGCGTTACAACCGCAATCTAAACTCGTCACCTCGTTGTCGCCCTCCGTTGTGTTGCAGATCAATTAGCGTGAGCGGACAGTTCGGAAGTTGGCAACTTCCATTCGCCACATCGAACGATTTCATTGCGCGATCGACGCAGCCACTTCTGGGAGGTGCGCGACTCTTCAGCGTCCGCTGAAATATGCATCGCGTGTGTGTGTCGCATTAAACAGGGGTGCAGGCGCTTTAATATTGTGTTCCGGAAACAGGTAAGGCGCCCTCGAGATCAATCCCGGCTAGATCTATAATTCACTATTAATTACCACCTTTAATTATCAAAATTAATAACTCATCACGTGTGTGCCGCCGGATGATGAGACTTATGTTAGCACAGGATATCTATTATTTAGTGGGGGTTTTGATACATTGCTGCAGCGCTACTCTAAAAAACTGTTTTTTGACTCGCTGTGTCAAAATAATGCAAGTTTTTTAAAAACTATGCATTTATACAATGAGGAATTTAGTTTTCTTTGATATAAGATATTTACCAATGTTGTATGATTAATATTTTCGGAGATATTTGAGTTTTATTGAAAACCAAAACAGAATACTGAAATGATTTGTCCCAATTTTTTCCAAATTATTTTCCCAAATAATAGTGATTGTCAAGCAAAAAAACAAGACGCCTTTGCATTTGTATCTGCGTCTGTGTCAAACTCAAATTTCAAACGCGAGCATGAGTTCAGATCAAAATTTCCAGTTCGTTTCCAAAATGAACCCACTACTAAAAGAAATCCAGCATGATCAGCTGATGAAGCAAATGATTGAAGACCATTTCTCAAAAAGAACTAATCGAGATCAAATTGAACAAATGCATTGCGTGGTGTGCAAAGGCCAACCAGATAACTACAACAGTTATCAATGGGGATCTCCTCCTGGGCAAGTCAGGTCCCAAACACCTCAGAATCAATGCCCAAGTATGCAAGCTGGAAACATTACAGTTATACCCCAGACGTTCCTACCAACACAGGTGACAGCACCCATACCCCCACCGTCATTTGAAGCAGCCGCTTCCAAATCTGGACCTTTCAATCCCTTCTGTCAGCCGTTGTACCCACCAGGCTGTCCGACTCCTGGATGCCCAGGATCTTACCCCGGATATCAACCTCCGAGTAATGTACCACCGACGATGTGTTACCAGCAGGAGTTTCGTGTAAACTGTCCATCTTTCAGTGGTAACAATATTCCCCCACCAAGGTTTCAACCTTCAAGGCAATAGTTTCTCAGCAAATATTTTTCCTGCTTGCCATCTTAAACATCTGAGCTTTTGCGATAATAATAAACAATATCATATACTAAATCGTGGTAGTTGTATGTTTCGCTTGTGGGCATGAATTACCCAAATGGTGTTGGTTTTGCAGGTCGTGATTTTGGCCTTTGCTACATCGCCACATCTGTGATTAGCAAACAGAGGCGAGCACCAGCTCTAATGACAAACAACGCTCGGGGGCGCTGATTCTTAATCAGGGGAGCGCACGCACCTTGCGGCGATATGCATCGACGCCGCCGACGCAAAATATTCGCGTACAGCGCCATCGTTATTATTAACAAAGTGTGCGTGCACACTGGCTCGAAGGGGAAAAATGAAAAAAAACTCTATTAAAAAGTTACCAGAGCGTTAATTTTAATTCTGTTTATATTAGCGAGATTCGTGGATGGCTCTTTTTTCGTCCGGGCGGAAGAAAAAACCTCCGGGTCGAATATGATCTGTTTGTCTTTGGGCATTAATAAGAAAACAGCCGGTAATAGAATTTTCCCGGACGCCTCTAGCTGCAAAGTATAAAAAATCCTTAATTAACAACTTGTACATAACATAACCCATATCTTCTTCATGTGTGTGTGTATTGCATTGTGAGTTGCCTAACACACAATAAAAGAAATGGAAATCATGTAATGCGCAATAAATTCGTGTCGATTGTTTTTTAAATGTTAATGCCGTGCGCAGTTTACGCCGACGCCTGCGCCCCGGAAAATAATTGCCGTTTGCGTCGAAGTTAGAATGAATGATTAATACGCGCACGTACCGACGAGCAGCGCAATTGCATCTCGGGCGTTAAATGGCGCGCCGAAAAAAAACGAAGCGCGCGCGCGGTTATTGTAACCGAAATGGCGTAGAGGCAATATACTTCGCCAACATTAGGCAGTTAGCATCCATAAAATAAGACGCTTCCGGTTGAAGATGACTCTCTGGCTCTTTTTGTGCCCGGAGAATAAAAACGAATTGTGCACGAATTGTAATGTAAGTGAATATAAAGAAAAAGAAAGCGGGGCACCATTTTAAACTGGCGCGTCGCTGGCGAATCTCTCCCGTGAGAGAAATAGAAACGTTTCGTGCCGCCAGCAAGAAAAAAAAGTTAGTTTTGCGCAAAATTTGCAGTCATAAACCACGAGAGTTACTCTTTCACAAATTAAACTTCAAGTATTATATCATCGAGAAATGTTTCAGTTTTGTGCCATCAATAATTACACACTTATCAAGTTATAATTACACATTACACATTCGATAGTTGGTTTTTTTTCTCGATTAATTACACGGGAAAAAAGTTTTCCATCCGTACGTACGGGATGTCAACCATTATGGTACTAATAAGTACCTTGGTTTACTCCTACCTTCACCAACATGTGCTAACATGCGTTATAGCCAATAATTACACTTTTTTTTTCTTCTCCACCCTCTGTGGTAAAGGTACAAATTAAGTTACAGTGCGTTATGAGTTTCGAAACGTTTTGGAAATTCTGTATTAATTAGTCGCCCTTGCATTTAACACCCACGACATTTTTTCAAACGCTTGAAATTAAAAAGTGATCAATCATTTAGTGTAAAGAAAATTAACTACTTTGACAGACTGACAAAGAAGAAAGCAACTTTTTCTGCTTGTGCGTCTCCAATTTTCGATTTATTCAAATTGTAGTTTCATACGCATAAAACACATCAAAGATGCCGTACATAACCCCACTTTGCGCTCCTCTGAAGTCGTGCGTCCTGTGTCTCTCTGATGGCGGCCGTTCTTTTATGTATGTAAAAGCATGTGCGAAGTGAGGAGCGATTGCATCCGATCGACGAGGCGTTTCGGCGCTCCGATATGAGTTATGGCCCTTCGGGCGTGCACGGCTGCGACGACTTGCCAAACGCCCTCATCAAATATGCAAACCGCCCCCCCCCGAAGAAGCAGCAATACTCGATACATATACGGCGATACAATCATGGATGCAACAAACGCGCGCGACGCTCAAAATGTGTGATAACCTATAAATATTTTTATATCTAGCTGGATGCTGTTAAGCCTTTTGGCTTTTGCTCAAATTTTCCAACGGCGTGTTAATGAATGAAATGACGGATCATGTAATTCACGTGGGATTTTGTTACGCGTCCGCCATGATTTATTCCTCTCGCATTGGCAGCGGCATCACGACGTATTATAAGTTAATAATGCTTTGCAAAAAGCGTGCAATAAACAAATGAAATGAACATGCAACGGGCGGACATATTTTTGTAATTAAACCATTAATTAAAATCGAAAGGTTTTTAGCGGATTTTGATTTAGTGTGAGCGTGGGCGAGATTTGTTTTTGCATAACGTATAATCCGATGATTGCAGTGTGCAATGAGGGTTGCAATCATCCAAAAATCAAAACCGTTAAAAACCTAACCAAGTTTTTAATAATCACCAATAAAACATTATTTTTAAAGGAATTAATTTGATTAAATTTAAAATTCATGATTTTTTAGTGATAATTATAATAAATTAAGTGAATATTTGAAGACCATGTATTGGACAAATTTTGACACTTTCCATTGATAGAAAATTCGTTAGCCGGTGACAATTGTGACAACAATAATTGATTGCCTGTGGCGCTCGGTTTATTTATCAAGTTTGAAAGTGCAATGCATGATTAATTGTCACAACATTAAATTTCTGATTATTAATTTGTGTGGCAGAAACTTGCAGGGCATGCTGGTGAATGTTTGACCAGTGTGTAAATTAAGTCCACAAGTTATTTAGTTGGTGAATTTACATACATTTAGCGCTCGATGCGCTTCTTCCGCGCCGCTGATGCGCATCACCCCGACTGATGGGTCGTCCATCCGCGGATATAAGAGCTAGTGGAGGTATAGTGTGCGCCGGGCGCTCGCAATGGAAAATATAATTATATTATCCCCCCAGAATCCAACTGGGAAATAGGACTAAGTGACAGGATAATGCAGCGAGTGCGCCACAGCGGAGGCCACGTGACAACACATCTCTCTCCGTACGCCTCCACCGCATTCACGGCTGCTAATTGCTTCAATCTGTGACGTCACTAATTGTTTTGTTGCTGTTTCAATTAAGGACGCTCTCAGCCGTCTACAGCCCCGTAGACCGGCAAAGAAAAACGCAAATTTTTCGGGGATAAAAATAACCGGAGTCGTGTTGTGAATAGTGTATACAGTAATCACAAGTAAAATGAGGAAATTTGCATTCGGTCCCTGCACTTGCCGGGACCGTAAGCATTCGTGACACGTGCAAAATTAACGAGACCACATATTGTTTTCTTCTACTTCCTGCTGCACTACTGCTGGTATTGTGTAGATATACAAGGCACAGAATGTGTTTACCTATTTCTTGGTCTCCGCTGTCTTTTCGGTGATGGTGTGTGGATATTTGTGGTCGCGGCATCGTCCATGTTTGCACATGTTATCGTCGCGTTCTGTATGCACGTTTGTCTGGTGTTTCTGCGGATTGTCGTGCGGGGAAAACACAAAATCGTTGTGTTTTGTTGCTAACCGAACCGTAAGTAAGCTTCATTTATAAAACAAAAGCTACAGGAGTGAAGCAAGTCCAGGACGGAGATCACTTGCAAAATTTCTTTAACAAATAAATGTTTCTTTGGCATGAGAACAGAGCAAAACTAAATAGATATAAATAATTCTTGGTAGGACCTCCTTGTAACTTGATCCTTATATGCTAGGTCTAACTTTACCCACCCTCTTACCTGTGATATTTACCTAATTAAATGCTGCTGCACCTACTCCCACCCCTTTCTGATGGTCGCTCGTAGGTATAAAAGGAGTGAGCACTGCAAGCTCAGTCGTTAATCATGCCTTAGTCGTCCAGCAGTCCAGTCGTGGCTCTCTAGATCCTTTTCTCAGCTCCTTTTGGAAGTTCAGGTCGGATGGCGCCAACTCAATGAAAAATCTCAGTCAAATCGATGTCAAAAGAGGTTCTGTCATATATTTGACAGATGCCCAAACTGTCAGTTTTGATTTTCCACCACGAGCGCCATCTACGTGAATCTACACTAAAAAATTACTCATTTTTAAATATTCTTCTAAACTTTTCCTTTTTCCAACTTTCTTTCTCGCAAACCATCGCCATTTCCTACCAAGAAAATAAATAAAAAATTAATGAATTTGATCCGGCCGTTTTTTAGTTTTCCTCAGACTAACAAGAACAATTTGATTCCACTTTCAACATTCTAAGCAATTACCTAGTGTTTTTGCTTGTTCTGCTTCTCAGCAAGTGGAAATAATTCCGCATGTACCCTACAAGTGTGAGTGTATGCGTGGGTGTGCGGGGTATGAGCCCGAAGGATGCGCCCAAGGGAGTTGTAACACGCCAGCGCCGCCGAACTAAGAATAATAAACTCCCGACTTATGGTGCGCAATTACACAAAAATATATTCACGGTTTTTTATCGCTCCTTGCGGCCGAGAAAATCGCCCCCCGTTCTTTTATTGTTCCTGCAGGAGTTACGGCCGAAGGTTCAGGTGCTGTGCAATTGCTACCGAAGCGCACGTAAGGAAATGTTCCATGAAACGTTTTCTTTTGTTACATTTGCGCAGCGCACAAAATACGGCAAAATATTTGATCCAATAGCTTTCCACCATGTCACTTCTATTACATTCCGAACAAAATATAATTAATTTTTCTTTTCAAACTATTTAACTTTTCAAATGAAATATTCAGCAATTTTTCCCCGCCTGTTTCATTCATATTTATTAATCGTGTTGGTTTAAAGTTTTTCAGTTTTTGTTCGCCGGTTCGAATTCAACTCGTGAATAGAACAACTCAGCCGCTATTCAGCAGTTTTTCCTTGATTATTATATTTGTACTGTCTGATTGACCCAGCCGCACAGCTTGAAAACTAATTTCATTTCCTTCAATGCAGCATTTCTTTCAGACTTCACAGTACCTAACTAAAGCCAAACGCCATTGAATTTGATACTGCGTGCTGTGAAATGAAAGAAAACCTCCTTCAACGAATAGAATTATATAGTAGTAGCGTTTGAAAACTTTCCGGAAAGAAACTTTCAAAGTTTATTACATAATGTCACGTTATTAATCGTTTTTGAAACACTCACGAATTAAATTTCTTTGATATTTTTTTTTCGAAAAACATCAATATCCAGCGATTTGCATTATTCATCCGATATTATTTTCGTTAAAGTGGTGCATTCAAAATTTATTCATTCATAGACATATGATATATCAAAGGAGAGATGTATCTGCATTATTGATATGCGTTTATTATAAGCTATATCGTCAAATGAAAGGTTTGGGTCAAGAATTTTACGTCGGGGAATGATAGTATTTGTTGTTTTTATCTTTTTTTCCTGGTCTCTTTAGTTTGCATTCCAAATGCTTCTATTTTTTGATTCGTATTTGGTATATTTGTAAATATGAGTTGAAAGAATTGAGAGTAATCTTGGATCGAGTGGGTCGTGAATAATGCAGGCTCGTCGACGTTCCACATCGGCATCCTAGCACGCTGCGCGGCATTCTATGCATTTTACATGTTTTATATCTTTCGCATCTTTTGGCATTTTGAGACTTGGCTGGATTTGCAACGCGTACTTTAGCGATTTCTTGTAATAAAACAGGTCTAGTTTAGAATGTGTCATACTGTGTAATGACATATGTATTTAATCATCTTTTTGAATAACTGAAATTCGTCGTATTTTCATTTACACTTCACTTAAACATATTGGAGTACTTAAACGTCGTGTGTAAATATGCAATCTCAATCATTTGTCATCGATTGCGATGCACACAACTCTTCCACATGCTTACAACAAAGATTCATTAATAATAATAATAATAATCCTGTACAATATTGTTTAACAAATAAATTACACATTAGCACGGAATTCGTCCGTTGAATCGAACAGCTAAATAAATGCAAATCGAATTTATGTAACTACATGATGCACAAAACATTCGCAGTAAAACTCAGATTTAAAAGCAATGACTTAAATTACAGGGTATTCAATATGAAAAGATACAAAAACTAAACATGAACAGGAAGTGTTGTGTCGTTGCTGTATGAATGTAGGCTGATTAATGAATTAATCGTATTTTTTTTTGCATTGATTCATTCGCTACAAATAGAAAATGTTCATTCCTAAGAGCGGAAATAGTTCAGACTTAAGTGTTAGTAGTTTCTGCTGCATTCGCGTCGCTGTCACCATTATTCCATACATAATATACATATTTACCTAACCACACAACGCGCTTAAATCAATAATGAACGGATCACAATGAATCAAAGAATTAATTCCTATAACGATAACTCTTGTGGTAGTTATTCTTATGCTGAAAACGTTTGTGGTTCTGATGTCGCCTGTTGCCGTAGAAGGGTCGCACGTATGAATTATTCCCACCCATGTTGCTGTTACTCTGATTCGACCAAACTTTCGCGTTGTGGTGCTCCTAAAACATACAAATCAGCATCAAATGTATCAACCACATAAAAATTACAGCATTACCTGGAATGGATTATAGCCTGGATTTGATTTACCCATTCCATTTGATGTTTTAATGTGTTTTACGCGACCAGTATCGGCATCGTCATTGAGCGCGCGTTTTCTATCCTCACGCTTTTCATTCGCGACCTCTTTTGACAGCTGTGATCTACTGCCATTCCAGGAAGCTACAGGCGCTGTATAGCCACCGTGTGAATTCTTTAACAATTCACCAACGACATTTATCGATGAAGTTGATGATGGTTGATCATCGGTTGATGATGTAACACTCCATTCTCCATTCGTGGCTTTGCTAGCAATGATTTTCGGACGTGAAGCCGCGGGTGGATCTGGCGTGACCTCATCGCAACTGCTATCGTCGTCTTCATCGTCGTAAGGAACTAGACTCTTCTTCTGTTGAAGGCTGGAACTCACCACCGATGATGATGACGATGATTGTGATTGCGAAGGTATAGTTGGGGTTGATGCGGAACCATTGATGCCATTAGATGATGTTGATGATGTCGACGTGTTATGGCCATTTGCTTTATTATTCAGTACTGATTTGGATGGTTGATGGTTATTCTTGAACGTGAATGTATTGCCGCCATTTTGCTGTGGCGGGTGCGAATGATTCTTGATAGGCGAGTTAATTCTAATATTGTTTGTATTATTTTCTTTTGAGCAGTTGTTGGGTTCGCAGTCGCTGTCGCTGGACCAGGTGGGGCTAGCAGTAGCGTGGCCATTCCGACTGCTTGTAATCGTGCCGTTCTGGTCTTCCAGCTTGGCGGTCTTTGCGGGAGGTAGTTCAGGTCCGTATACTTTACCGTTGCTATTCTGTTTACAGCCGTTTTCAGTGTGTAATACTGTCGCCGTCGGCTTGGTCGGCTTTTTGTTTCCGTTGAGGTGCGCGGTACGCTCCAATTCGTATAGCATTATATAGGCGTTTGTCGTGAACACAGCTTGGTTAGAAATTGGCCGAACCTAACACAAAAAAGCGAAATTTTAATATTTCATTTATCAAAATTTATTAAAACGTACCATGCTATCATCAAATTGATAAAAGTTTCCGCACGGTGCTTGCGCGACAGCCGTGTAGTGTCCACAACCAACTGTAGGTCCCATGTGAGTGACCATCGCTACTAATCGGTACACCAATGGGGTACTAGGTCGCTGTCGTGCAAATTTACCCAATTCAAGTCGTTGTTTGAACTGAATATTTTTAGTTATTTTGTTGTTTGTCACGGAAAAGCGCTTCAATTGTATACATAGCACCATGGGCGCCTTCTCCAGCGAAAACTGTTTGGTTGCTTTAACCTAAACGTAAACAAATTAATACTAATCTTTAAAAATATTTGTATAATGTACCTTTTTCCGACACGCTTCACAATGATAACTCTCATCGTCCAATTGCTCGCGCGCAAAATACCCGTCCAAAGCTTCATCGAGCGTCTGCGCTTTTCTAATATCCAAAAGCAGGTCCTGAAAGTGCTGGAACGTCGTACTTACATTGCCGCACGCCAGACACCTGACAGCCGAACGCAAGTACCCACCCAAGATCTGATTGAGCGGAGTCGTTTCCTTGGTTCTCGAATCAAACTGAGAATGATTCTTAAAGCGATTTAAATACGACTTTTCCATTGCTTCCACTAAATACCTGAGGAACTCGTGCGCATCTTCCTGCCGGCCCGGTATCAGGTTCCGGCAGACTACTCTCAGCTTGTTATAAATCAGGAAAGGACGGATCGAGCTTATATTGCGCTGTTGCGAGTCAAGGAGGGTTTTACGCATCGCACAGATCACACAATGCGAACCTAAACACATTTATTAATAGAAAATTGTAACACATTTTAAATTTTATAACACCAACCTGAATCTTCACAATCAGATATTTTCTGCTTGTCAGAAACCAACCAATTCACCAAGGCAGGCACATGAAAGAGGGCTTGTATTGTTGAATTCAAGTAACAAGTGTTGCCCATGTTCACCATGCCTGCACCCACTGCCCAATCGGAATTATTCCAGCCCAATTGAACAGCATCATGTGGATACAGCACATGTTTTGCTGCTGGTAGAGTTTCATCATTGCCACTATTGTCATTTATACTAAAATTACAATTATTAGTTGTATAATTTAAGTTATAAAATCAATATCCACCTTTTATTTAGCTTATTGTTGGAGTCTGATGCAGCTTTTAGCACAATATACTTTGACTTGAGTTTGTCCAGCACATTACTCTGGTAACTGCCTGCTGATTCAAATTCAATATTTGTCAGTAGTGCCTTTTTGGTTGCACCAGCAAGTTGTCCATCCAAGCTGCTCTCTACGTTTGGTTTTGTTAATGCGGTGCGCAACGCGGCGCTTACCGGATCCAGCGTGGAGGCAGGCATATTTCACTCTCAAACAATATCTGCAATACAAATTCTAATATCAATCTGTGTGAAGAATTGAATTTTGATCGATTGTGTGCGTGCGCGTGTTGTTATTTGTCAATTTATCGAAAGACCTTGTCGAACACGTGCGGGCACAGCAACCTACCGTATTGCAGTAAAATTCTCCACGAAAAATGCTCGTTATCTAGCGGCGGGACGCAACACCTCGTGCATAATCCAACACACCACTTGGGGGTTAACTTCGCTATGGGGGTGTACCAGAAATCACACAAAACTAGCAACAAACACTGACAGACAAGGTTCAGCCGACATAGAGCACATTGACGACGCACAGTCCGGCATTGCCGTATGCACGCGAGTAGTCGTCGTGTTGCGAAATACACGCAGCAGGCCGGTTTCCGAGTTAATTGCGCCAATGAAACAAAACACGCTCGACAAGCGCTGGGATGGGTGGATGCGGTGCGGGTGGCGCGAACTCGTCGGCGTTTTGGGGCCGTTTTGGCCGGCAATCCGACACGAAAAGCACGAAATGATTGCGCTGACAACGGTGTACGCACGCGCTACGAATGTCCTCTACCGACGGAGCCAGACACTAGAAATCGACAGAACCGATATCGACGTGCACGAAAAAATCACAAGAATTAAACGATTATGTTTGTAAGTATTGATTAATTATTGCGTAAAAACAAAATCATTTCATGCTTGCGTTGAATATCAAAGATACCTTTGAAACAATCACTTAAGTTTTGACATATAAAGAAAACATCCGCCATATTAAACATTCAATTTGAACTTTTGTTTTGTTTCTGTTGCATAGAAATTAACAAAATGTTTTAATCTAATCTAATCTAACAAAATAGTTATCTGGTATTGTTATTATTGAATTTATTTCGTTCATAATTTGTTTTTGTGTTTTGTGCTGAATTGCATAGAATTGTGTGGTAAGAAAGTTGCCTAATTTACCGACGCGCAGTATTATTACAGAACCTAAAAATAGTTTCTACAAAGCAACTCCAACAATTTATCAAGTTTAAACAAACAAACAAACAGTTTTTTTGTATATTTCACTATTTATATCGCCGGTAATCATATATTTTCTGTAAAAACCAAGTGTTGTGTGTTGTTTTAAAAATTTAAAACATTAAAATGATTATGGAATCAAAAACTACAAGTAAAACTAGCTGCCTGAAAGCGTTACTTCTAAGAGCCTGGCGAGAACGTTGGTCGGATGTTCAATGGGGCATCAACATAAAAACTGTCCTACCAAGAGGAGTCTCTGGAGATGTCTACAACCTCGCAGATTGTATCCTGCAACAAGCAGTGGTTGGTTCTGGTGCAAATCAACTTGTCCTCAGCTATCTTAAACACTCTCTCAGTGCTCAACTTGTATCACATGCAGCTGTCTTATCCAGGGTTGCAAAATTCTCTCAATTCCACAAAACCCATTGTGTCAGCTCCTTACTGGACTTCCTAGAAGGTATGCTTCCTGGTATAACTTGCTGTGGCAAGTCTGAAGAGACAAAACTAGCAGGAAGTGTCCTTGCAACTACTATTTGGCTATTAGAAGTAGTTCAAAACGTCCCAGAGCTGGCTAAGAAGTCTGTCAGCATCATGCAGTCACTGCTCTCTGACAAATTCTACATGGCAATGATGTGTTTGGCCAGGAGTAGTGAGATTGAAGTGTTTGATGAGATGTGCAAGCTCATCAAGGAAATTGAAGCTGAGGGTTTGGCTGAAATAGCTGCTGTGTTAGCAAGGATTGACACCAATGTGCTGGCACCTGTTGCAAGTGGTGATCCTGGTCCTTGTTCATTGATCCAGGCATGGTTATCAATACAAATGTTGGCAAATCCAGGCACACCAGTTGAAATTATTGCACAGAGATTGAGACTGTTTCAAACACTTTTGGGGATTAGTGATGCAAGGATGAGTAGTGAGTTAATGAGGGGAAGTTTTCTTTGCTTAAATGATGTGAGCAATACTCAGCATGAAAGTCAATGGGGGGCATTTACATTTATTAAAGTTCCAAATGTTCTTGTAAGTTTATTTTTGTCTTTTTAGCTTATATTTTATTATGTTTTACTTTTGACAGGCACACATGAATCTACATGATAGTATTCTGTCTGGATTGGAGATGTTACTTCAACATTCACCTCTTCTAGATTACATGGACACCCAGTATTCATGTTCCAGTTTTGAATGTCTATTAACAGAGCTTCTAAAAGTAAGTTGGCGCAAATTTTTGGTCATATTTTAAGTTTTTTTGTTCTACAGCTTAAATTAATAACTGATCAACAATCACAAATGTTATTAAATCGTCGGCAACCAATTGCACTACCAAAAGTTGATGGAACACCAGGAATCCCAAAAGTAATTATTTGCGCAGAACCTACTTTAACTGGTATTTTAAAGACTCTCTCAACTGATTATCACAAAATGCAAGACGCTTTATTGGGCATGCTACATCAGATTCTTGCGGGTAAAAGTTTTGAACTTATTCTCGCGGTTGCCACCGTCCAAGGACAACTGAAAACATTCGTTCAACGTTTGATACGTTTCAATGAATACCTAAAAGTATCCTCAGATAAATCGAAAAGTCAATTGTTTGATATTTCCTTCTTAATGCTTGTCGCAATTGTTCAAATGTATGGTGCAGAAGTTGTCCTTGACACAAACGGCGATTCTCTCTTTGAAAACTGGGTTTCCACTTGTATGGTGGAAGCAAAACGACCAAAAGCACCAGGACAATTGCTAAAACGTTGTAATCCAGCGACTGTAGAGCAATTAATTCGACAATTCAACAGTGGAGACTCAGAACTTGTTAATTCAAGTTGGCATGATGTACTTTTTAACATGTCCGGTGTCATGAGAGAAGTATTAATTGCATGGGAACAAGGTGTTCTTGCACCATCAGATGTTAAACGAATCTTGGACGCAATTCGTGGTAAAATGTGTAGTTTACCACTGGCTGCAGCTGCCTGGCTATGTGCTTACATGCGCACAGCACATAAAGACACCATTTTGAAACCGGTAAACATGGTACAACAACTTTTAACACCTCCTGAGGATGGCGGTGATGAACGGTGGCAGCTCACATCGGAAATAATCCGTAAAATGCAGCGGGACATTCAATTGCCAATACCGCCAAAAAGTGGACAACATTTGGTATCAAAGCAACCCGCAATGGAACAATTGAACAACGCTTGGACATCCGCTATTGACCGTGGCTGGCTTGATTGTACATCTGCACGAAACATTCATTGTCTTTATGATACAGCAGGTTCACACTGGTTTGTCAACGCAATTATCCAGCAATTAATGAAGTTGCGCTACAAAGATCAACTCGAACGCGGTACGGAGATTGCCCTGGCTGCTTTTCATGTAGATATAAGAAACTGTACGATAGATTTGTTAACGCATTCTTTGCCACAATTTTTATACAATTCTCTGCAAAGTGAGAATTTAATGGAGCCGCAGTTATCTGCGCTGGCGAAGTTGGCTAGCTTTTCAGTGTACGCTGCCCTAGATGAACCTCCATGTGATGAACCACCTGCGAAGAAACCGAAAAGCGTTGATAGTGTGCTTGATGCATTGAATAACTTATTATCTAGTTTTAGGTCGCACATGCAGGACGGAAACATCACGCAGCAAACTTATTTTACGTTTCATTTGTTGGAAACGTTGGTTGATGTGCGTGCAACAACGACGAATCGTGTTGTCTTGAGTGCGATTTCTTCCAAGTTAGTATCTGAATTATTACATACTTTGCCCGAAATGTTTGCGCCAAGTTTGATTGTCAAGTTGCATGATTCCCAAACGGTTCAGGGAAGAGCTAACATGGCTAAAGATTTATGTACGCTAAGAAATTATCAATTAAGGCATGTAATTGCACCGTAATTCCATTTTTAAATAAATGGATTCAAATTCGTCAATACATTGTGCAATATATTGATAGATACCAAACCTTATGTATTTAAATTTGACATTATATTGAGCAATACATTGAGTGTATTTTATTTGTAGTTTATTTGGTCAATTCATTGATCAATATATTGTACAAAGTAACCTAAAATTTTCAAACTTTTCAACCGACAAACAAGTTAGATGTTTTACGCGATTAAAAATGTTTGGAACAATAATTACGATATTTATGTACGCGAAATCTCTAGCATACTATACATTGCTAGCTAGTTTTTACATCGGCAAGACTCTATTTGCCTTGATTTTTGCGACAGCGAACAAATTCAGTGTGCTCTGCAGCGGTATCCTCACTGCCGTGCAAATTCTACTTGAAGATTTCGGCGTTTTCCTGCACGATTTGTCCGAGCATGCTGGCTTTGGCCTGCGAATTATCTACAAATCAGTGGAATGCATTCTAGGAGTATTTACATTGATATACAATCCAATTGCTTCATCACTGCAATGGTATCTCAACATTACAACAAGCTTCTGCACATGGATAAGCAACTTTTACAACAATACAACAACTCTGATCACTTTTCTACTGATAAATGCTAAGAAATTACTTGTACTATTTGGCTCTGGAGTGTGGTTTGCACTTACAATTGTACCAGTTGCCATATTTTCAGCTAGTTTGTTATTAATTTACTATATTGGTGTATTGATAGATGAGATCAACATTTTGAAGAACAATGTATGGAGCTGTCTTTTACAGAACAGTAAGAATTTAGTGGAGTTTTTTTGGGATGTTCCACTGGAAGCTCTTCTGGGACTTGCTGGACTAGCCTGTATTGTATATATTTGTGGGAAATATGTAACATATATTAGGATTAATGCCCTGAAATGCCTCAGAAGTATACACAGCTGGATGTCATTTAAAATTCCACAGCCAATTAATTTTGCTGCAATGAAAGAACCTTTGAAGATGCCAAAGAAAGCAATTTTAAATGCAGATCAATCAATTTGTGTTGTGTGCCAAGCAAAACCAAAGAACATGCTGATTCTACCTTGCAAGCATTTGTGCACATGTGAAGAGTGCATGAACCAAATAAAGAGGTATTCCGGTCGGTGTCCAATGTGTAGAACACAAATGGATAGAACTATTCTAGTTTATATATAACTTTGTTGTTATTTAGTAGTTTCCCAGAAACTACCTTTTGTAAATACGCCTTCCAGATAATCTATTACTTTTATACAATAATATACAAAATATAGTCTATTTTATATCGAAAACTTGTTATTCCGCGAATATAACCATGTTTAGAGTTCAGATCAATGGGAAACAATCGACAGCCAAACTGTGAAACCTGTGAAAAGTCAATTTCGCTTAAAGTTTTGGTGTGTATTCTATATCCAATATAGAACTAAACATTTATTGCTACAATTTGCAATTTAATTAAAACATTTATATTTCCCACCATAATACAGTTTGGTGTTGAGACGCTTATCAGTATTTTGCACTATGTAAACAACGGCGCACATGTTTTGAAACTAGTTTGGTTCTGATCGCCGACCAGTACGCATTACTTGTGGTATATTTAGTTTTATTCAAGATTTCCTGTCGGTATAGTATTAAATCACCGCCCGCATTGCAGGTTGTAACAACAGTTCTCTTACTCAGTATATAAGTTTGTGATTGACTAATGTTTTAACGGAAACTCACAGGAGGGCCATTTATGCATCAAATTGTACGTATTGTAATTTTGTATCATCTCTATAACTTAGTTTTGCAATTTTCTCACGGGAAAGCCATGAAAATTGCATTTTTGTGTTTTAAGACACTGATTTTTCATGTTTTAGGGCAGTAGAAATGGAACGGAAACTCACAGGAGGGCTATTTATACATCAAATTGTACGTATTGTAATTCTGCATCATCTCTATAACTTAGTTTTGCAATTTTCTCACGGGAAAGTCATAAAAATTGCATTTTTGTGTTTTGAGACACTGATTTTTCGTGTTTTAGGGCTGTAGAAATGGATCGGAAACTCACAGGAGGGCTATTGGTACATCAAATTGTACGTATTGTAATTCTGTATCATCTCTATAACGTAGTTTTGCTATTTTCTCACGGGAAAGCCATGAAAATTGCATTTTTGTGTTTTAAGACACTGATTTTTCGTGTTTTAGGGCAGTAGAAATGGAACGGAAACTCACAGGAGGGCTATTTATACATCAAATTGTACGTATTGTAATTCTGTATCATCTCTATAACTTAGTTTTGCAATTTTCTCACGGGAAAGCCATGAAAATTGCATTTTTGTGTTTTGAGACACTGATTTTTCGTGTTTTAGGGCAGTAGAAATGGAACGGAAACTCACAGGAGGGCTATTTATACATCCAATTGTACGTATTGTAATTCTGCATCATCTCTATAACTTAGTTTTGCAATTTTCTCACGGGAAAGCCATAAAAATTGCATTTTTGTGTTTTGAGACACTGATTTTTCGTGTTTTAGGGCTGTAGAAATGGATCGGAAACTCACAGGAGGGCTATTGGTACATCAAATTGTACGTATTGTAATTCTGTATCATCTCTATAACGTAGTTTTGCAATTTTCTCATGGGAAAGCCATAAAAATTGCATTTTTGTTGTTGATTTTTTTGTTTTAGGGTTCTAGAAATTGAACTGGATTGCAGAAGGGTCATTCTTGCATAAAATTGCAAGTATTTTAATTCTGCATCATAAGCTTATTTTGTGTAGTATCCATTTTCAGTTCTATTGTGATACCGCGTTTCTTATGGTTCAGGAGGAGTTCTTGTTTAAACGAACAATAAAGATGGTAAATCATATTTGAAGAAAAATATTCTATGAAATGTTTTGTTATGTTTTATTATCTTATGTGAGGCCACGGGCCTGCAACCTCGGCACAGAGCGATATGACGCGGTGGGTCAGAATGATTGTTGCTCTTCTAGTTTTGCTTAGTTCACCTTGCGCTCTCGTGTACACGCGTTTTATTTTTGCGAATGTTTACTTGTACGTATTTTTAAAACTTATTAATAAAACACTTATTACATTTATAATCTTATTCCCATTTCTATTTGGTACCCTCTTTCTCGTTTTCAGTATTAAATAGTATGGCATATAACTTAAGTGCGATTTTACAAGTCAACAGAATCCATGCCGCCATATTGGAACAGGACTTACGACTTTTTTAGCCGCGCACATCTAACGCCAGCTAAAATGTAGCAAGTACCACTTCATAAACAAATTAGCAAATAGCCCATTTTCTAAGTCAGTGGAAACAAATATACAGGGTGTTACAAAAGGAAAATTTAAAATTGAAACAGAAAAACATTTAAGCACAACAAATGTCGCTAGTTTTTCACCCAATGCCTGGAAAACTAATATACAGGGTCTTATGAAAAGAAAATTTAAAGTGCAAAAAGTTAAAGTCTAATAACAACAGTCAAAGCAAAATTTTCAGAGATGAGAAGGAAAACTATTATACAGGGTGTTACAAAAACAAAACAACTGCATTTTAAAATATATGCAAAAGTTCAGGAGAGAAAACTTACAAACATTCCATAAATTATTAATTTTCCACATGACATAAAAAAAACTATAATACAGGGTGTTGCAAAAAGAAAATTCGCAATTCAAGCAGGGATATATTACAAAACAACAAATACAGCTCAACTCAGGGTGTTAGAGAAAGAAAACCACTATCATTTGAGAAAATCCAAAGTACAAGAAGGAAAAGAATAAAAACTCACAAACACTACAGAAGACAATAGAGAAGACAATACTATGAAAACATTGAAAAAATTATCAAGAAGATGACACACAATTAAAAGAAATACATTTAAATATACATTTTTATTGCAATTTTATTATTATTTATTTTTAAAAGGTGAAAAGTGCGGTAAGAGGCAGCCGGCGGCTGACGGATTGCAGGTAAACATTAAGTCGCGTACCATACATGCTAGATATCAATAAATGCATCATCAATTGTTGATGAATTACACATAGATTTAGCGAATTAATGATATAAAATTGTAGCGACCGGTCCTCATTGTTACGCGTAATGAAAACAAAGACTCGCGCGATGATTATTATGTTTTCTTCGAGAGAACTTGTGACTCAACCCGTGTTGAAGACAAAAATTTACAGATTAATTTTACTTACCTGATAGCTCATATAGTTGCATAGTGAGAACCAAGAAGTTCTATTCCTAAAATGAGATTAATATAATTCCACAGGCGAAGAACAATCTCCGATGTCCGACGGAACCTCACACGCGCACAGGTGAACTGACGATTACCCCCCGATTTAACGTTTAACGCACAATTACACTAGCAAAACTACGCTCACGTTCGACCCCGATATATGCCGTCGATTGTGTTTATTCAATATAAATCAATTTACTTAATTTTAATATAAAGAATCAAAACTAGTCGTAATGAACACGCGCGATTCATATGGTGAACGGAATGGAACTGCACACAGGTATGGACGACAACACGCGGTCGCTGCGATACGCAGAGTGATACGCTCGCTGAACGCGATAAAAAAAGTTGTTTACCAACACAGAAAGTTATACGTCTATTTTACTATGACTGGCCTGCATTACTAACTTTGGCACTACAAGCGCGCTTAACGAAGCGGTAGAAATGACTTAATTAAAAGCACCGTACAAGGGTAGCGGTAGAAGTGACTCAATTCAGCGCACCGTATGAAGCTAGCGGTAGAAGTGACTCCCATTCAGGGCACCGTACAAGGGCAGCGGTAGAAGTGACTTGTGTTCAGGGCACCGTATGAAGTTAGCGGTAGAAGTGACTCAATTCAGCGCACCGTATGAGGCTAGCGGTACAAGTGACTCGTGTTCAGGGCACCGTACAAGGGTAGCGGTAGAAGTTAGTCGTATTCATAAAATATAAATTATTTTTGGATCTTTTAGCCTAGAAAATTTAAATATTTTATATCTTTACCTAATTGAGAACAATTATTATGGTGGGGATCATCCCCTGAGGGAGGGAACTCCTTATAAGAACAATCAAAATTTGAAAAGAAAATACAACCGTTCACAACCGTTCTATACTTGAGAAAAATATTTATCAGGGTGATACAAACAAAAAATGTATTATTATTAACAGGAATCGCTACTTTTAATAGGATTAACAAAGATATCATGCCAAATTAACGAGATTTTAAGAAGAAAAGGCAGGCAATAGGATACAAACTAAAAATTATTAATTTTAATGATAATTGTAACACTACACCTTGTAAAATAGAAATAAATAATTATACAAGTGATTTCGTTATCATAATGAAAATTAAAGTAAAACTTTATGTATCATATTTTTTATGTACAACTTTTCACTTCACACTTTATATGTGTGTAGAATAGTAAAATATTACTTATTTCTATTTCAGGGATACAGTGATACATCTGTAACACAACACATCGTAAAATTTAAAATGAATAATTATTTAAGTTATTACATTAAGTTAATAAAAAGAAAAGTATAATTTTATATACATATTTATGTTTTATGTATTATCTTTTATGTATAATTGTGTCAACCTGTCAAGGCTTAGTTAACACACCCGTGGTGTGTAAAGCGTACTTTACACTTTATAACACACATGTATGTCAGTAAACTTATCTTTATTTCCATTACATTGTTATATTGTTATAATTGTAACATAACACTTTTCAAAATAAAAATAAATAATGATATAAATGATTTTGTTAAATTACTAACAACAAAAATCAAATTTTATTTCTTATTGTATTTTTCCTCTTTTAATTTCCAAGGCTTAGTTAACACAAATGTGGTTTGTAAAGCGTACTTTACACTTTAATACGTTTAAATGTAAGTAAACTGATATTTATTTCCATTTCAGTATTACAGTGTTATAATTGTAACACTACATCTTGTAAAATATAAATAAATAATTATATTTATTTATATTTTGTATTTCGTTAACTTAATAAAAATGAAGGTAAAATTTTATGTATTATATTTTTGTACACTTACTCTTTTGTATTCTTGCGCAATCTAAATATTGCAAAAACATTTCCACAATGTTGGTGATCTTGGATGAGCGTCAAAGGAATCATTGCAAGGAATAATGCCCCCACAAGTACTTCTGAATCAGAAGAAACACTAATAATTTTCAATAAAATGTCGTAACGCGGCCAGGGCGTAGCACCACGAAAAATACTTAATGAGTTGAGGCTACGAACAAAAGACCACTAACGCGGATAATTGGTCACTGAAAATACGTACATTCGGGCCGTCGGTAAACATACCCGTAGAAATTACTCTTACACTAATATAGCACGCTCCCGGTCGTGAACATAAACAATACATTATCATATATTAGAATGCAAGCGCGACCACGTTCTAAATTTTATCACTAACCAGATCATCTTGACCATTTCGACGAATTAACACAGAACAATTACCGAGCACGTGGTTTGTGAACACGCTTCGGATAAACAACCATATATCGATTGGTATCACTTTGCAAGTACGTAGTTGTTTACCCGTGAATTTCTACCGCACACAAAAATTGTCATACACAAAATTGTGTGCAACATAATTCCACATCGGAATTAAATTCTTAGAAAAAATGTTGAGATAGACCCGCACACTCACAGTTCCACGGCACAACTGCCCGTGGCTCACTGCATCTTAAATTAATGCACTGGGGGGGCAGGGATCGCAGTGAACCACGCGCAAACGCAATACACTTACAGATCGCAACAAGTCATTGTTTATCAAATCGCAGGTCTTCCTATCTCTTCCAAAGAGATCACAACACAACAAAATATAAAACATTGTAACAAACACCTCCCAAATATATTTAACTAACATTTATTTATTCATATATATTAAAATATATTTACTTTATACAAAAATTACTTAACTTTCGTTATATTTAGTAGTTTTATTTACAAAAAGAAAGGAGAGAGTGTAAGTAATAGGATATAAAGACTTGAAAACATTTGTCGCCTCCAGATGAAAAAACTTGCCTACATAGAATACTACTATACTAATTTATACAATACTAAATCATAAAATACAGACGCTTATTTGCTACATATCTAGTTCTAGGGTAATCAAAGAGCGTGCGACCTCCAGTTTTCAATCAATTGAACAGTCAAGTGATAAAACTGTGCGCGCGACACGTTTGTTTATATTTCCTCGCTTGCACATTGCTTGTATTGCAATCTCTGTCCCAGAATAGCCTCCATGTTTCATTTTCTGCGAATTACAACAACGTATAACTAATAAATGCTACTCGTCGACGAGCCACAAACAAAAATTAAAAATAAGAAACAAAACAAAAACTTGCAGTGTGAGTTTGTTCGCTGACGAGCAGCGCACAGTCTTAAATTCCGCCAAATTTCAACGCTTTATCTTCGGCGCCAATTTATAATCAACGGTAACAACAAGAATGTATATACGTTAAAATTAAATATTACGTGTTTAGCTTAATTATGAGGTAACTTTATACACAGTAATACGTGTGTAGTAGAAAAAAACAAACAGAAAAATAATAAAACAACCAACAGTTAAATAGTAAAATAAATAATAGAATGTCTGCGGATGACATGAACGAAAATGAACGCGCCGAAATATACAAAATGGCCGATGATTATAAATTGACTTTTGTGGTACACAATGTTTCCCTATCGCGCGACGCAGTCTGCGTGCGCGATTACGTCGGGTTGACGAATCCCTTCGGTTTGATCATCATGCTCGCCTTCTTGAGCGTGTAATCCCATCCTCTCCACCTGAACCAAACGATGCCCTGGCGCGCAGTAAGGTCCTGCGGGTCATTGAGGTACAGGCCGTTTAACCCGCGGCCACATGACTTCCACCACCAGCCTCCTTTCAACATGGACGCGCAGTTCAAACTCGAACGGTCGTTATCTCTGCAGAAATTGATAGAAATATTTTCCTATACATTGGTAAAACATGCAAAACTTACCTATTATAAGTGGAAAATGGACTATTGTTGCTTCCATACCATGGATCATTCAGGGAATCTCCAGCGTTACCTTCATATCCATCAATTTCCAGTTTGTAATATTCTGCTTCAGAATAAATCTTAAAATGCGAATATTGCGCGTATCTGCAAAAATATTGTATTAATACCAGGGTAACCTAGTAGAAAACAAACAATTTTAACCTTTTGTTTCCTTCAAAGTCCTCCAACTCTACACGCAGGATATACTCCTCGTTGTTGGTCAACATATAGATGTTTTCGTTACCCAACCAAAATTCTTTACCAGGATCACCGAAACCGTTTTTGTAATCACTCCAATCCCTGTTGAAGTTTTCCCTGGGGTCACCATAATCATCACGACGTTGGATTACCTTCACACAAATTATTTTATATTCAATTTAGCTATAAATATGAAGGTGTAGAAAATGTTTACCGTCCAACCGCCTTCGGCAATTTCTTGCTCGCAGAACACCTTGAGGAACCAATAGGTGGTACCGCGAATCTGCAGGTAGTAAACGCCAGAGTCGCGCATACCTGCATTCAGCAGGTCCACACAAGAATAGCCCTGCGGGTACCAAGAAACACAAATTTATGTGGGCACGCAACAACATATGAAAAACTTAAATTTACACCTGTCACCTAGGAAAATATCAACTTATGCAATTTATTCGTTTAGAAATCGTGCGGAATTTGCTCCAAATCATAAACGCATGCATTCATTAATTTTCCGCAATACTATTTGTATCGATGGAGATAACATGAAGAAAATTTAAAGCAAGCATTAACAAATTATCCGCGAATGGCGTGTACGAGACACCAATTTGGAAAGTATTTGCTTCCATATTCGATGGATATAATAAAATAAACTGACTAAGGCACATGGTCGAGTCTATTTTATTACGCAACTCAATATGGATGTTATAAATATGACTTTTTGCGCGAAAATCCAAAAGGACAAAACTAGGTTGCGAAAATGCCGCCGCCGGTAAACATACGAAAAATACGCGGCCGCAATCTAGATACGGAAACGGCCATAAAGTCTATAATTTTTATCCGGACAAGTCGCGCCTGCTCACAGCTAGACACATACGAAGCACAAGCTAACTTTCTAATATTTACGCAGTAAACTTAAGCAGTGTGTTAAAACAACCAACGATTTAATACATCTACCATTTTATCTAATAATAAAACATTTACAATACCTTAACATCCTTAATATTCGACACCAAATCAGTTGTAAATGTAGTATTCGCAGGCGATGGCTTATTTTTCACACTTGGGAAGATAACACCACCTTTCCGTTTCTCTGTGCGTTTCTCCGAAGGAGGTGTACCCACAGGTGGTACCCCAGTCATCGGCGTGGTACTCTGCGTAGTATTAAATGTAGAACTCTGCGTTACAGTACTTGGAGGAGGCATGGTCGTCGTAAACGGAATCGTGGTCTCCGTGGGAAACTCATCAACACCATACCGGCTAGGATCATACTCAATAAGTCGATCAATGGTCGGATCCAGCAACAACTCAGCCGGTACAGGTCTCTGCGCTAGTGTAGCCACATCATCTTCTTGTTTCTTCAGACGTTTCTCAACCATATCGAGATTAGCAATGATTTTATTCGCCTTAGACCGGAAGTCACTGTGCATTTCACCAATGGCACGTTCCTGGCGTTGTGTTTGCGTCAAAAGTTCATCTGATTTAGGAACTAGATCATCTACAGAACTTTTGGTACCCACCACAACATCCCAGACTTCATCCATTTTCTCGGAAACATTAATAATTGGTTTCATTTGTTTAACCAGGGCGTCAATTTTGCTGGAGCGAAGAATAAACGGTGCTTGGGTAGTGGTCCTGTTGTGACCTCGTGGTGTAGGGGTTTGATCAACAATGGCTTCATGTACATCACTCACCATTGAATAAACTTTGCCTAAATTTTCACTTACAGCACTAATATGGTACTGAAGATTTTTATCGAGACTATTAGTGGCTTCTTTGAGTTGGTCCAGTTTCTTGGTGACATGATTGATCACTTCCGTATTGAGTGATTTAGTAATCTCCACCACATTCATATGAATTGGTTTCTTTTCACTAGCTTCCGCATTGAAATCAATATCGCTGGTCAGGCTATTATCAAGTTGTGTTTTGAGGGTGCTCAATTTTGAGTCAATATCGCTAACCTTCTGATCTAAAGAAACCAGTTGCATTCCAAGGTTGTTTTCATAAAACTCACCTTCTTTAATTGGTGGTAAAGAACCATCTTTAGGAATGTACGAAGAATGGAAGAGTTTTAAATCAAGAGTTCCCAGTTTACTAATGACAGCATCAGTTTTATCAATGTTATTATTCACTTGAGAGTCAAGATTTTCAACGCGTCGCATTAAATGCTCAACGGCTTTGTCTAAATTCTCAATGCGTTGGAGTTTTGAATCTAATGTTGAGATTATCGCTTCAAACACGTCATACAAATATTGCTCCCTGAAAAAAACAAGTAAAATAATTAATATTAAGCGTTACTTTCATTATCAACAATTGTGACTGATTGGTAGTCAATCAATAGCTTGTAATTAATGTAATGAATTTGATTATTTACTTTCTATGCAGTCAAATTTTAATTATTCCGCGTGGTGCGCGTAAAGAAAGCACGTAACACATTTCGATTGTTGCGTAGGAAGCGATAAAAACGGAATTCGTTGATGATCATAAATCATTGACATAACAAGCACACACACATTTCGATTTCAATTTCATTAATAATCATTGTTTTTAAGATGGTTCAAGATGTTGCCAGACATAATCAGATCATATAATGAACAAAATCGTAAAATATTACTAAATATTGATACTTCATTCTTAATTAATCTATTGTTCGACATGTTACGTCTGCGCGGTGCGGTGAATTTGACAATTTATTAATGATTCAAAGCATGTACGCTCTGTTTTCCTTTCTAAATAGAAACCATCGTCACAACCTGTTCCCTGACAGTTTCATCCTCAATGATTTAATTACCGGCGGTCGATCACGCTGCGTACAACGTCCGAGATTCACGCCGCCGAAGAGAAACAAAAATACCAGTTTGTGAGACAATTAATCTAATTAGACGTCATTTAAAACTTCGGCCCGCCATATATACACGTTGCGCAACGCGGTGCGGCATTCGGTCATTACAAGCAGAAGAGGCAAAAACTTTCGTTGATAAAATTTTTGGAATCTGGAACGAGCAACGGCGAAACAATCAAATATTTTCAAAAGTTTTTTTTGTTAACAAGTTTCACTTTTCCCCATGCATAGGCAACCAAAAACACAAAATAACATAAAAATAAACCGAGTGTTTGGAAATTTTTGCGTAAAAATTTATATTTTAAAATAAATATCGTAAAGCTGAATAATAAATGAGTTTTGCGCAGTAAACGCATTGATATTTTGCGAATCGTGCGTCCTTAATTAACGCTCACCGGGCCATTCTCTTTAAATCTCATTAAATTTTATGCAAGTTTTACTAGTGCGTATTATCACAGCGTGGAGTAGCAATACGAATGCAGTTAGCACCTTCATATTACAAAGTTGCAATAATAACATGCGAGTATTGCATAGTGAAAAGTTTGTTCTAATAAACTAAGAAAATTACTGACGTGTGATTCATTTGTTATTTTATTCTTCTGTTTCGCACATTCTAATTGATTTTCGCAAGCAAATTATCCTTGCTACTTGAAAATTGATTGTAATTACACAGTTTTTAGTATTTTTTAATTAAATTTTGTTTGAAATTTATTTTCCACAGGTAAAATTAACGTGATAAAATAGAAATGGAGATATGATCATAAAATATATTACATTAAACTAATTACACGCCTGCGCCCAAAAAGTGATAATTACTATATAAAAGATTTAAGCTGCACTTAACATTTATGCTATCAATAAATTTAATGTTAATGTTCAAGAGTGCGTTACGAGTACTCGTACGTTAATTACTACCATTACTAAATTTTCTTTTTTACATCTACATAATTATATTTTGCTAAATTTTAATTATTAACTCTAACTCTAATGAACGGCGACAAATTGTGTTCGTCAAAATTCTGCAGAAAATACAGAACAAGTGCTTGAAATGAAAATCTCCATAACTTTCTACATTCTACGATTTAATGGTTCACCACTAATAAATATTTTATTATATTTGTGATCTTGCCACATGTTGCGTGAGACACGACTAGTTATTTTTCCAGTATTTGTATTCGTATGTGAAATTGAAATGCAACTAAATCGTGGTGTCATTTTACAACTTCTTCTTCCTAATTTACAGCAGTCATAAAATCAAGACCAAGTCAAGCACAGGAAAAGTTGAATTTCTGAAGATTTCATAAGTTCTGACAATCTGACATTCCTCAAATACTTACAACGTACCGAAATTGGTGAGAACTTTTTCACATCCATTAGGATTGGTAAAAAAGAAAAACAAAATCGAAATAAATTGAAACCAACTAAAAAGCTAGTAGAAAACTAAACCAGGTGAAACAATTTTGACAAATATTAAAACTAATAACTTTATTTGACATAGATATGAAATAAAATAAGTTATTATTATGGCATTAGATAGTTTTTTTGTAATAATTATTTTTACTATCTTCAACTCGCAGACTCGCTCGAGATGTAAATTTTTTTTCATTTTTTGACTGAAATCACTTTTTTTAAACTATTATATTCATTTAACACAATTTACGTTATGTTTTTGCAACATGCAGTAGCCTATGTTATTCTCCAAAGTTCAAACTATCTCCAAACCAAAATTTATCAAAATTGGTTGAGTAGTTTTTGCATAGCAGCGTCACAAACATACATTTTAATTTATAATATTGGTTAGAAAATAATAGATTTGTTTTATCTAAATTACTCGGATTACTTGTAGTTATATCACAACATTCGAATTTTAGTTGAGACACACGTCGATTGAAAAAACAAAACAGTATTTATCCATTTGTTAATCGGAAGTCGATCGTTTTATTGTTCAAACGTCTTGCATGTCCTGGATTTCGACATTTTAAATCTTCCTTTTATCGTCGAAACGTGACGTCTCGAAACAAGCTGAGACTTCGTTTATTTAATTTGCAATAAACTTATATATCTATTGTACACATAACAAATGAAACGATTTAAGTAACCATTTCCTTTTTAGGTCTTTATTATGTCTTAAAAATAATCTTTAAAAACCATTCATGTTTCAAATTTGATGCGCTCGTGTTTAACTAGAAATTGTTAACAAATTTGACATTTACTTCAATATTTGTTTAAGTAATGAGCGGTTGTCGGTGAAATGGTACTCGTATGAGTAATGTGTGTGCACACGATTACACGATCCGACAATATAAGCAACTAATTAAAGACAAATTGTTATGCGCGTCGTGTACGTTTTTATTAGCGACGTTTTCGACTTGTTCCCAGCGTTTGTTTTACAAGACTCCACGCGGGGAACATCTGCGTAAATTAAAAGTGAATTGTAAAATCAATAGAAAGCAAGTTGAATTTTTGCGAATTAGAAATTTGTTATATCGATAATTACATTTCAATTTAAGTTTCAACCCACGTCTCGAAAAATGTTTTCAAGTTTTAGATTTATGTGCGTGCTGCGTGCAACGGAGATAACTCTCGTTGCGCTCCAATTATTGGCACACATTTCGATTTTTGACCAATTTACGAATACGCTTTAGTAGAATTCTATGATAATGCGTGAATACATCCTTCATTTTAATGCAATTCTAATCTATTTACATTCTAAACTATTCCAAGGCGGTTGATGTAAGTAGAAATTAGTTCTCTTTCTCTGACAATAATTAATTTCTTAACATACCGTAGGTTATTAAAAGAAATAATGTTTGTTTTCAGCTTACAAAAACTATTTTACTACATTTTAACTCAGCGTACTAACTCACACGAACAGGAGTGTCTTCACTACCACAAACAAAAATATAAACAAACAACTCTCTGATAAACACGCAAAACTTGTGTTGCAAGATATTTCACTTGCATTAAATGCAAATAAATGCATACTAACGCCATCTATGGTCTATTTATGGAATTATTTTCAAAATTTCATTTCTTCGGTATAAAATAAAGCAGAAAAAGTATTTCGAAGAAAAGTCACGTTAAAAATCAAAAGCTAAACTTAACTAATTGATTATAAATCCATATTAAACCGATGTTATCAAAAAATACGATGATTACACATAAGAAACTTAATGGATTTGAAATATTTTCTACTCCCATGCATTATCATGAATAAAAGTCATAAAAGTGCGACGTCCGTATAGAAAGTAGTGCTGTGCTATCTCGCAGTGCTTTAATGTAAACACACACATCTCGTACGCCTCGGTGCGGTGTGTGCGCGATGTGTTTTCATCACATACGCTCAATTTTTATCATGCGCCTAGTTTTATTGTAATGCGAGGATTGAGAACAGGACTTAATAGAGCACAGCGCATACACGCAATCTCTTAAACGACTTGCATTCGATCAGGCGCTGAGATGGAATTGGAATTGAAAGTGAGCGACGAGAGAAAAATCATATTACCAGTTTTAATTGATCTCGATATTGTAAAGAACTTAACATTCATTTTTTCGGTTCACTTGCGTCTTGCGCTTGACCTTGAAAGTTGTTTTTATTCACGCATCATCATCATAGATAATTACCTATCATCATTGAGATTCAATCATAGATAATTACCTACAGAAAAACTTTATATAATTAATTTCTTTAAATTAAAATTGAATCTTATTGTTTTATATTATTATAAATAACGAAGTCGCGGGCAACGGCGAAATTTGTACAACGCAATTGGTTTATATTCATTTTCTCGTTATAACGTTATAGTTTTTCTGTGTAAGGACGAAAAATATTTTCATTTCTAGAAATTATAAGTTAGAACATTTTTTCAAAGACATGACATCGATGGTAACATTTGAAATATTTTTGTAATTATGATCCCATCATTCCTTCAAATTGCAATGCAAATTTCTATAACTTAAACACGATTTTTCAGCTAATTTGTTGGGGTGCACGTTGCGTTACTAGAAAATCATTAAAACATAACACAAGTGAATACAACTGATCGACGCGGAATTCATATTTAGACTTCAGGAAATATTTACTGGCATTTTTACTAAAATAATTGAGTTTATAGCCAGTTTACAAGAAATATAACAGATGCCTATCCACGTAAAATCTCAATATTTGGTTATTTTACATTTGTACTTTAATATTTTTATTTTTTAAATAAAATATATAAAAATATGAATAAAAATAAATCAATCAATCAAAGCGGTGATTATTTGTAGGAAACTCTACACGGCTTCCAATGTGCCAATCGCCAACAAATCAATCATCGTTTTATTGGCTTGTGCTAATGCTCATGTTCTCTACCGGAATCCGAGCGCAAATAAACATGAAAGTGTGTGTGATTGATATAATTTGATGTGAGATCAG